CAAAGGGTCGTTGACCAAATAGGCGGGGAACTCACCTACAAGAGTCGGGGATCAACAGGTGGAGATCTCACCTACAAAGGGTCATTGACTAATAGGCGGTGCTCTCACCTACAATTATTTGAAGTGTATTTATATATGAACAGAGACTATATAATAGATCTATTATATGGTCTCTGGTATGAACAATGGGCGGGAATATCAGGAAAGAGTAAAGTATTTTGCGAGACACATACATTCCCAGATCATCAACTAGATTCCATACCGCCTAAAGGTGAAATAGTCGTAAACATCAAAAAGAGGAATCGCTGAAAACCATGTGTTCGCGATAAAGGGTAGCATCCGCATCCGCACCTCACACATATACACTCTTCAAAAAAGGAAACGCACAGGTAGATTGTTAGTAAATTTATTGCACCTAATAAAGTCGATATATTTAATTTTATATCATTGATACAAATATGAATTTTTTGGAGCTCGATAGTCACATGTTGTCGTTGTACAAAGGCATTTAAAACTGTTCGTTGTCATGTCACATAAGGCCACAAGGTTGCGCTGAACTTGAACTTGAACTCGATTGGGTTGAGATCTGGAGATAAAAATTGATTACCTGCCAAACGAAATATGTTTAATATTTCATTTATGACCACATGTGCAAAAAGTTGGAAGTGTGTGTGTCTAAAGCAAAGAGGGTACCGTTGTTATCAGTGACTGTAGTGAGTGAATGAGTAAGTTGGGTTTAACGCTGCTTTTAACAGTATTCCAATTATATCACGGCGTGTCAGCTTAATGTGGGAGGAAAGCCCGAAGTGATGCAGGTCTCAGACGTTTACCACTTCGGTTAAACCAACGAGCACAAACCTAGAAATATAATCGGGGCGAACCGGGATTCGAACCCACAAGCATAGGTTTCTAGCGTGCCCAAGGGACGCAACTCTGCACAGCGATCGCGGCGTCTTAGACGACTGTAAATCAGATAGCCCAATGCGAGTCCGGGTATATTAACCCTCACTTCAGAATGTCCCGGGTTTGTGTTTTACCTTTGGCCTTCGTTGGAACGACCAACCTGTGTTATTTAAAAAGTACAATTCGAACGATACATAAACCCCTGTCGTGTGTCTGTTTTCAAGCTGGCCTTGCTTGCAGGGATTCCTGCCCAAACAAGGGCCCAAGTAACCCACGCTTGTCGTAAGAACCAACTGAACGGGGATCGGGGAACTACAATGTCTGACCTGGCCAAGGGACCGATATTTGATATTCTGGGAGGGGTGCTGGGATTTTATTGAAAAAAAATGAATTGTCCCAGAAATTGCTTCAGAATATTCAATAACAAAAAAAAAGAAGGAAATTGTCTGCCACAAAAAGAACAATTGCAAGGTCTTTTTCTTTTTAAAATATTAAGGCTCATATTTTCTTCTTTTTTAAAAGGTCTGGTTTTGCAGCTGCAGCTGAAAAATAGCTTATCTCCAGACAAAAGTGTCCAGATTGGTGTCCTTTCTGTGCACTGACGTTCTTTTGTGCATATGTTTCTTTCTTTACATATGACGTCTCTTGATGGTGAGTTGTTCATTGGTATTGTTTTGTATTTTGAATTTATTGTTCATATGTAAATAATTACATTTAATTGTAACTTTCATTCTTTATTTGTATAACTTTTAACTATTGTTGCGATTTCTTTTCCTTTATTTCAACTTCGTATTTTTTTGTCCATAGATATGGTCTGACATAGCTGATTTTGAGTCAACTTTAGAATCTGAACTGTGACGTTCATTAATTCGGATTTTGAGAGGTCTTGATATTTGCATTGATATTCAAGTATCAGCATTAATACTGTGTACGAAAAAGTAACAGAAAATCTAGTGATTTGAACAAAATATGATGTCATCATAAGAAAAAACATGCACAAGTTCTGCTTCCTCAGTCTTCGGTTTCAGAGATTTTGTAGAGCCAAAATGTAAAAGCACTTATCATCTAATCACAAAGGTCAAAACAAGGTCAAAATTTAAAATAATGCAAAAACAGAAAGTATGTGTTGAACTCCAACACTAAGAAAACATATAGCAAATCCCATATACATTTCAACAATAAGGACCGGGTACTGGCCATAAATACTTTTGTCAACATGGCTGCTGTGGAGGCCATAATGAAAATCTGATTCGAATCTCTTTGAGCTTCATAGCTCTAGTCTGGTCCTGACTCGATTATTTACGGACCGCCGTCATATGGCTGGAATATTATTAATGCTGAGTGCGGCGTAGAACAAAATACAAACAAAAATATTGCAACGGGCCGTACGAGGGGTGGCTTAAACGTTCTGTGCCTAACTACGGAGTGTGTACAGTACACCCTTAACAGTTTGCATATATTGAGTACAATACTTGTATATAGTCACAGGCTGCATTTGAATCCAATACACGATCAGGCAGCGCACTTTAATAGGCATCAAAAGTACTAGATACTCTCTGGTGGTGAGAATGGAAAAAAATAGGTTTCCATGCTCCCATCGAGTATCGCCAACTGAAATGGCTAACTCCAACAGCCGCTCATGCGGACATGGTGTCAACTTTAGGGGATGATGTTCCGTCCTTTGCCACTGTTAAGAGGTGGACAGGGGGGTTTAAGAGGGGGGGAGACAGCCTCGAAAATGATCAAAGATCAGCAAGAACTCCAACTGCCACCACTAAGGAATATGTTGATAAAATACATGATCAAATTATGTATGATCGACGACTCACCCGATCTCACTTTCTCAATACACAAGGCATCTCCTAGACTTGGGAACATTCTGAAAAACGAAGGGGCATGACAAAGGTTTCAGCACGCTTAGTTCCATGGCTTCTGAGTCCTGATCAGAAACTCACCAGGTTCTTCATCTTTTGTGAAGATTTACGTCGTTTTGAAGCAGACCCAGCTGATTTTGTTGAGTGATCTGTCACCCTGGATGAGTCTTGGGTTCACCACTATCAGCCAGGGACTAAACATCTAACGTCTCCAAGAATTTAGAAGGTAAAGTCTGGTCCTTCACCTGGCAGAGTGATGGCTTCGGTTTTCTGGGATTCAAGAAGAAAAAAGAATCTTGCCGGTGGACTGCCTCGAGAAATGTCAGACCATTAATAGCCAGTGTTATAGCTATTCTGTTCCACTGGAACAAATTTAAGCGAATGCGTACAAGTCTGTTGTTGCCATGGCTGCAGTGCATGACTGTGGCTTTAAACCCATTGAACATCCCCCGTAATCGCCGGATTTGCCACCGTCTGATTTCCACTTCTTCCCAAACTTGAAGAAAGAACTGTCTGGAAAGCATTGTGCAAAGTGATGATGACGTCATTTTTGCTGTAGGTGACTTTTTACACCACCAGGTGATCCAGGATCCGGGCACTCCAGCATCATTGGCAGAAGTGTGTGGTCCTCGGAGGGGATTGTGTTGAAAATTAATTAGCAACCAACTCCATCAACGCTGTTCATAACAGATAGACTCAGAGCTTTTCCGCCACCCATAGTATATAATGAGTCACTCTGCCAACTTTAAAACACATACCACATTTCAATACATTTTGAACATGTTTTTTAAAAATACGGCTGGCATGTTTTATCTGTCCTTGTAAAGAAAGGGAACTGCGTGGACAATCCTACCCACGGAGATCCGTACCTTGTATATTTGGGCGGACTTGTACACAATGTTGGATAGCCCGTACTCTCCCGTACCTAATCAACTGGATGACTCGTACCCATAAACGCGGATTCGTACACAATGAAAATGTATATGATATTAAATATTATTATGAAACAATTGCTTAAATTCCAGAAAAAACGTTTAGTACTTCAAATAGCATCTGAAAAGTATCAGCTCTTCCGCAAAACATTGATTAAATAGCTGATAACGTTGTGTTCCGCATAATACAGAAGTTGACATCCATAAATTCTAATCCTTAAGAGCTTAGTAGTTCAGACTATGTCACCACGAACAATTTAGTTAACTCAAGGCATTTGTTGTTCTTTAATAACAAGGCCGCTGGAAGAGGACTAAGATCACCGACCACTGTGTGTGAACTGCTTGTGAGGGACACTAAATGTGTTAGCTGGTACTTAGTCGAAGGGATAATCACCAGTCATCCCAATCATTGTGCGTGAAACGGGAATTGAATTGTATCAGGAATGATTATTTGTTTTTGTTTTTTTATTAAATTATAAGTTCTCAGAATGTTTGAATGTGTGAATATAGTGCTCTGAAATAAATTGTTAATGATTGCAAATCCAACAAATCTGAAAATAAATAAGTACGGTCCTCCAAATTAGTGTTTTTTAAGCGGTACAGTTCGAAAGGTATATAGAGTTATGCCCCTTGATTCAACATGGCGGTAAAGTCGAAAGAGACTTTTTATGTTGTTTTGTTTTTACCGTTGCTTTGAAATAAGGACTGAGCAAGCAATAAGTTCACTATGTGATCATACAATTTTAATTACGTGTCAGTTGTATCGATTTGAGGTCGAATTATGTTGAAACGCTTTTGCTCAAATAGCTCAGCTGTCAAAATATCATTTTGCAACATTTACCAAGTCACAATGTTTCAAGCCAGACTGACTGATTCACTGGGATAACTGGTTGACCCAGAGCAATTTAAAACGGTAAGTTTCTTTTTGACTTATATATTGTTAATTTGGCGTCTGATGCTCACGTGTACCTGACAACAAACTTTCTGTACATGGTTGAGAGTGTTTTCATAGTTCCGACTATATAAAGTATATTCGTGACAGCTGGTCCTGGGGTAGCCCCGTCTGGCAGTGGGAGTGTAGTAATAGATAAGAATGCAGTTAAACAGGCGTATCGCAGAGAGTTTGATTGTCTGGGGCGCTTGTCTCAGCAAGCTTACCAGTTACACGGAACACATGTAAACCTCAATAAGCAGGTCGGGGATAACCACCAATCGGCGATATATATCCATATATATCGAACATGAAAAAAATAATATTGTGATCATACGTATCTAGATAACTAGACTATCATTTTGTAGGTCAGTATATTGATACATTAATGCATCATGATATAACTAGTTTTGGTAACTAGACTCATATTGTAGGTCGATTTATTGATGCATAACAAAGTTGCCTATGTTATGGCTGTGCACATTAAATGTCAGTGTTCTGCTATTTGTCATCATGCTTTTACACACTGCGATGTCCGACGAAGGTTTCCTTACCCATACAACATTTACAACCTGTCATGGAAAACATGGTAGAAGAAATACACAAGTTTGTCAAGGAACATAATTAACAAAATCTTGATTCTATTTTCAAGAGTGTCCAACATCTGAAAATACAACCATGCAATAGAAATCCATGACCGAGAGTGTGCGACACCTTGACAATGTTGACCCCACACCTAAATTATTAGTGTATTGTTTATCATGAAATAAGATAAGTGTCAGACTGTCATTATCAAGATTATCAGTGTCAGAGTTTCTTTGTGAATGTACTAGGCGACAGCTTGCAGTTGGCAGGTTGGAACAATAATGTGTGATTATGGAAGTGTGCCACTGATTTGACTGTACATGGATGCCCTGCTGAATTGGGTAGAATTAACTGTAACAAAGACTCTGATGGTATCACACAACTTAATACACAACAATGTAAGTGAAAAATCTTTAAGCATGTTTAGATCTCTTTGCCATTCAGCTTCCCTGCTTGTTATATCAGTTTGTGGTACAGAATGTGTTTCTGTTATATTATGAATGTTGTGTGAACATAAATGGTAAAGCATTTGCATGATTTGCGACTTCTTAAATTGTTCTTTATTCCTACCAAAAAGCTGTTTGTGGTTGTTGTATGTATGAACACTGAGTATCTAACATGTTCAGTTGCAGATTAGAAACAATTTGTTCTTGTCTAGCCTGCAAAAAATGATCTGCTACAGAGTTGCTGTCCCCTGAAAGGCTTGTTTGACTGTGAAGATGTTTAATGGACTCTTCAAATATAGTTGCAGGTTGTGAGCTAGACCCTGGTACAGGTGATGGAGCAGACTGTGGCTGTGAAGGAATTGTTTGATGGGCTCTACAACACCATCGTGGGACCAGGTTTTTACACAGTCAGTGGAGTAAAGAGAAAAAGACCGAAAGTTCCTAAATCAAATCTTGAGTGTCCAGGATCACCAGAGGAGAAGACGTCTTTAGTTTCTAGCGAGGACAGCTGTAATGAAGGGAAGGAATGTAGACAGTCCACTGAAAGTGGAGACAAAGATAGAGCTCATAAATCAAGTGCAGGAAGTGATTCAGATATTATTTGTGATTACAATGCGAGTAACGACATTAACACAGCTCTAGTTTCACACAAACCATCTAATCACATACCCAGAACTGAAAACACTAAGACTTTGGAACACAAGAACAAGTGTGACACCGCTGATCCTGTACCAAGTAAACAGACAAAGGATGATCAAGGTGTTTGTGTTTCTATAAAGTCAAAATCTTACGTCACAAAGGAGCAGGGATGTGCATCAAAGTATACCTGCAGTAAAGTACCCCTTGACTTGACAAGATCAAGTCGCGGTAGTGGTGGTAAAAGTAGTGTTGTGTCTGTAGGGAAAGCTGATGGGAGTGATGGGACTTCTAAACAGTCTCAGACATCGCAAGGAGAAGATTCTAATGTGTCAGCTGTAGATTGCTCATCAAAGGAAACTCATGCTTCACAGCAAACAAGTCTCAGAGGTGCAGACCTTACAGTCTCAGCCAGAACTTTGGGGAGACCTCAGATGTCGCCAGAAAAGTCTGTGAAGCGTAGAAGACAGTCACCTGATGAGGAGACTTCAGTCAGTGCAAAGAAACTGCACGTAGAAGAAAAGAAAACTGCTTCCATTCTGACTGATGATGGAAGACGTGTCACAATTCCTGGTAAACATAAATATCATAATCATATTGATGACTGGTTCTATCTACATAAAAAAAACTGGGAAATATTTTGGACCAACAGAATAAATTGGAATTTGATAATATGTACATATATATATTTAATTTATGTACTTTTGATAACCCTTGCAGAACTCAATTAACAATTCACCATATTTACGGAATTTTTGTTTTAGTAAACTTAGAAAAATGTCTTTGGTCCAGTTTTTGCATGTATTATCATGATCAGATGATATTTTTTCTTATTTGAACATGTTGAATAGTGCACATAAGCTTGACATGGCCACAGTTTGATGACATTAAGCCCCCCAAAGCACGACAAATAATATGTGGATTAACTTCTTTGACAGGCATTTAGAAGTTGGAGTACCAAGTAAGGATAAGAATTTATGGATGAACAACTTCTTTATTACAATTAAGACTAAGAGCCACGTTTCAGGGTAGGTTCTAACACCGTTATCAAGCAAGTGATATCATGATATACAGAGTGTGGTTGGCAAGTTTATATGCAAGTAGGAGGCAATGTTTATACAGTAGAGTAGATACAGTAGAGTAGTTATCCAGTATAACAACTTCTACTCTACTGTATAAACATTGGCTCCTACTTGCATATAAACTTGCCAACCACACTCTGTATATCACTTGCTTGATAACGGTGTTAGAACCTACACCGAAACGTTCTTCTTAATTGTAATAAAGAAGTTGTTCATCCATAAATTCTTATCCTTACTTAACATGTGGATTATAGATGTAGTATGTTCATAAAGCTTAGACTTAGAGTATTGACTGTGTTCAAAGATCAATGTTGAGTGGACATGTAAGGGTAAGACACAAATCTGTTTTTTTTACATGCACTTGGAATGCTTGGTGCATGTTGACATTAATATAAGCATGATAAGGTTGCATTACTCAACATGTTCAATAATAGGTAAATCAATTTTTCATTGATATTTTCAAGATAATCAGTTCCTTCATTTATATATTGAACATGTTGAATAGATCGACAGGGTACAGATGCAGAATTTCCATCTTTCCGTCAAGAATATTGATAAATATGCAGAATTAATTACTTTCCCAATGTTTGATAATCATGATAATAAGTCTTGTTGTATGTCCGTAACCATGTCAATATGCTTCAGACTCAGTGTATTCATAGCTTTCGGCCATGGGAGCCGTGCCAATTTACACTTGTCAGAAGGGTACTCAAATACGTGATCTAGACTACCAGTTGTCAGACTTTCATTTTTGTGGAAGCCTCGGTGGCTGAGTGAGTTAGATCGCTGACTTTGTGTGCGGGCGATTAGGTGCCTCACTTTGGCAAGTGTGGGTTCGAATCCCCGACGGGACTCAACCCTAAAAAAGTACGAGAATCTGTACTTTACTAAGAAAGTGTTATCCCAAATATAAAAACGGTTAAATATGCTTCAGTGTGTAATGCCTAAGAGAAACTCATGTTTCACCTGAACAACTCTCAAAGGTGCAGCTGACCTTACAGTCTCATACAGGAGAAGTTCGGGGAAACCTCAGATGTCACCTGAGAAGTATCTGAAGTGTAGGAGACAGTCATCTGATGAGGAGACTTCAGGTGGTGCAGAGAAACTGCATGTAGAAGAGAAGACAACTGCTTCCATTCTGAAGACTGATGATGGAAGACTTGTCACAATTCCTGGTAAATATGAACATCAAATTGATGACTGGTTCTATCCAGAAAAAAACTTGGAAATGTTTTGGACCAACAGAAAAAAAGTTGAAGTTATTTACTTTTCAAATGTTTCCCCAAGTCTCCTTAACCATGTACATGATGTATATGCATGCTAAATGCCCATGTCAGATTCTGAGATCTTGTTAAAGAAATCTACAATCCTGATGGTCCTGACTTATGACTGATGTACATGTGTGAGTGAGTGAGTGAGTATGGTTTTATGCCGCTTTTAGCAATATTCCAGCAATGTCACGGCAGGGAACACCAGAAATGGGCTTCACACATTGTACCCATGAGGGGAATCAAACCCGGGTCTTTGGCGTGACGAGCAAACACTTTAACCACAGGACTACCCCAACGCCCCCTGATGAACATGATTAAGTGCTGCCAGCGTGGTGTAGAATGGGCTCAATAAGAAATTACATATAAGGTACCGTTATCTCTCATTGACTCCAAGTTGAGTGGGCGTTTACCAGGACAGTTTCTTGTTCCAGGAAGCACAGCAAGTGCCAGTAGGGATGCCGATTCCCAGAGTGACATCAGTACCGACTCTCATGCCAGTGGATATTCTAAGTCAAGACCTGGTAAGTATTCTACTATGTCTCCGTGCTACCTATAGGAACTGTTATTAGAAAATTGATATATTACCTTATGAGATTTTGAGTGTGATGTATCATATCTTGAATGGTAACATTTGTCTAAGAAGCATAGTTGTGTCGGACCGCGTCCTTGGTCTAGTTTATGGAGTGTCTGCCCAGAAAGTGGAAGGTCGGTAAGTTTGATCTTGACCAGTGTCATACCAAATAGATATGTACTTGTTGTTTCTCTGTCTGGTGCTTGGCATTTAGGGGATAAAAGAACTGGTTGGCTCAGAGTTAGTATACTGTGTCAGAATAGGGTATTCATGTTAAACTGCAGCATGGGGGGCACGGGTGGCCCAGTCGTCTAAGGCGCCGCGATTCGCTGTGCAGAGTTGCGTCGCTTGGACATGCCAGAAACCTATGATTGTGGGTTCGAATCCCGGTTCGCCCCAATTATGTTTCTAGGTTTGTCAGCACCATACCCGTGCTTGTGGGTTTCACAGAAGTGGTAACCGTCTGAGACCTGCATCACTTCAGGCTTTCCTCCCACATTAAGCTGACACGCCGTGATATAACTGGAATACTGTTAAAAGCGGCGTTAAACCCAACTCACTCATTCACTCACTAAACTGCAGCATGGTATTTCAGGGGGATAGCACTATAAAACCAATATCAATCCAGACCAGTACAAGCAGTCAGTCAGACACACACACCTAATTCATTTTCAAAAGAAGGTACACATTGCAGAAAAGCTTCAAATCATTTTCAGTAACGAAATAGATGCCAATTTGGACTGTTATCATGTATCATGCAAACTTCATAGGTGGCCTGGTCGTCTAAGGTGCTGCGATTCGCTGTGCAGAGTTGCATCCTTTGGGCACATCAAGCTGACATGCCGTGATTCAACTGGAAAACTGTTCAAATCGGGATTAAACCCAACTCACTCACTGATGATCAATAACAAGTCCTTGTTTGAAATGTTTGCTTCACATTATCAGATCTACGGATAAGCAGCGTATTTGCGTAAAATACCCCCCCAAAATATTCAAAACCCAATTACTTTCAATTAACTTGCCTACAGAAACGCATGCACTAAATGAAAAACTCAAATGTATAAAAACAGCAGCGTGTATGCCCAATGAATCTTTGTCAGCATGCTTACAAAGGAGCTTATTACCGAAACACAATTACAAACTAATTTACTTTCCGAGTCAAGCCTATATATTTAGTTGGTTGGTTGGTTGGTTTGTTATTTAACGTCGCACTCAGCAATATTCCAGCAATATGAGGGCGGACTGTAAATAATCGAGTCTGGACCAGACAATCCAGTGATTAATATCATGAGCATCGATCCACGCAATTGGGATCAATGACATACATCAACCAAGTCAGCGAGCCTGACCACCCGATCCCGTTAGTCGCCTTTTACGACAAGCATAGTCACCTTTTACAGCAAGCATTGGTTGCTGTAGACCTATTCTACCCCGGAATCTTCACGGGTCCTATATATTTAGACACTTAGAACAGTTATCATGGTAATGAACATCTAAAACATTATTTCATTTTTTTTTTTAAATCTTAAAATATTCACTCTTTTGGAGAAATACCCAGTAGAGTGATGAATAGATGAGTGAAAAGATATTGGTTACCCAATGAAAAATGTAGTAACCCAAATTAAAACCCTAGAGTAAAAACTCAATTGCTCAAAAAGTTATCTGGAGCTCTGGATTATGACATAGAGAAAATACAATTGTGAGTATTTCGTTGAAAGTCTGTCTATAACCATAGCTAAATACTGGTCAACATGTTCAATGCAGCGATGATTCATTTGGTACATAAAATATTATCAGAATTAAACAAAGTGAATTTATATCATTTGCCTATGTTTAGAAGACAAAAGTCTTTTGATTTAGGTTAATTTATTATCCCAACGGCATATAATGCGGGGCGATATAGTCAACGCCTCGTCTGTCTGTCCATCCATCTGTCTGGCCATAGTCATTTCATTACCGGAGCATAACTCGAAAACCGTTAATACTTTTTAACAAAAATTGGCAGATAAATCAAACAGGTCCTGAAGAGGTGCCTTTTGCTGTTTGCAGATTTTTGGCATTTACATTTTTCTCGATTTCCATGGAAACAATTTGGACTCAGTCTAAAAGGGGTGGGGTAGGCGCATTTCCAAGCACAACTTGAAAACTGTGAAAGACTTCATCCAAACCTGGTACATGTTTTAACCAAGGGCTGAACTGGTGCCTTTTGCTATTTAGGAATTGTTTTAAGAAATATTGTTTTCCTGTTTCCATGGAAACAAGTTAGAAACGAAGGTAGACCATGGGTCTGTTCAATATTTTTCATCCAAACTTGGTACATGTATTAATCAAGGGCTGAAGTGGTGCCTTTTGCTATTTAGGAATTGTTTTAAGAAATAATTTTTTCCTGTTTCCATGGCAACACGTTTGATTTTGATTCTGTTCATAATGGTGTGTACCTCAGTAACTATTCTTATATTCGGACAGACAGATTAGATAGAAATTCTCTCATCAAGTTGGACTTAAAGTAACATTTAGATGATTTGTTGTGATGTACCTACAGCAATGTATAGGGAATGTTTGACAAAATATATCATTCATGTTTTGCTCTTTAAGCTGCAACACAAATCTTCTTTCACCTATAAAGAGCAAATATATCCAAAAGCTAGCACTTTTTATCATGTGACAAGTTTGATTTGCTGCCATTTTGCCACTAATAAGCAATTATTGCCTGTGGTAAAATTGAAGATACTTGTACTGTTTGGAATGTAGAACTACATACGAGTAAGTTTAATCATACTAATTATTTTAGTCCATTATACTTTACAAGTAGATGTGAGAGGCACTGAAAGTGTGAAGCACTGCGACTTTGTAAGCAAACATTAACATGATTAAGTGTCATGCAAAAGATTTACAGTCAGTTACAGAAAGATGTCATATTTCAAGCTATCTGTTGTCCCTAAATCTTGAAATACACATTCTTAGTTGATTTCTATCATGTTTTCTGCCCAAATGTATTACAACATGTAGTAGTAGTCATTGAGACTGGTGTTAGTCATGTTGAAGTGTCTCTGGCGTAACTCGTTATGCTAAATTACCACTGAGCTTCCCTTCATGTATGGCAGACAATACACAAGTACCAGTATATGAAACAAATGAAACTAAATTGTTTTATTGATGACAACTGTTACTGATCAGCTTGTCTGGTCGGTGTGGGCTGGGCTGACGCGAATGTTTTTGCAAATTGCAAGTGGTCTAACTAGGGCTGGCTACCAATATAGATCCCAGAGATCGATAATCGTTAACATCAATTATCTACCAATATGAGAAAGGTAACTTTGAGCAAATATTTTAAAAAGTCTAAAAGAAATCAACATATTTCATGCCACTGGTGAGGGTGGCATATTTGTGCATGGACTACTTTGTGGACATTTGAGAAATAACAAAACCAGTTGCTTTCCGTCTTCGGGATTTGACATAATTGACAATAACAAGTATGTTTCAGTAAAGTTAAACTATATTTCATCACAATAGTTTATATCAGTCATTATCGATGACACAATTTTCATAACGATAATCATTGATATTTTTTCCCATCGATTATTGATCTTTTTAGATTATTGATCATCTCACAAGTTCAGACCATGAGCATGAGTGTCTACACATTCAGCGTGACTTAAGCTTTTGTTCCAGCTGTTCTGCCCCTACCAACATCAGGGGGAACACCAGTTGACAGCCATCGAAAACTGAGACAGAAAACAGCACCTGGAAACCCAAATAGGATGTGAGTAACACCTTCTCAAGGTTGGTTTGTTTGTTTAACGCCGCACTCAGCAATATTCCAGCTATATGACAGCGGTCTGAAAAATAATTGAGTCTGGACCAGACAATCCAGTGATTGACATCATGAGCATCAATCCAAGCAATTGGGATACGCTGACATTCATCAACCGAGTCCGCGAGCCTGATCACCCGATCCCGTTAGTCGCCTCCTACAACCAGCATCGTCACCTTTTACCATTTACTGCAAGCATGTGCTGAGACCTATTCTACCCCAGATCTTCACGGGTCACTTTCTGAAGAAGTTCTCATGATTATTACCACTAATATTAGCATTATCATCTCAGTTTTAGTTTGCACTTTAAAACCATGGAAAAAACAGGGATATAATTCATGGTATTACTAGGAACACGTCCGATTTCCGTTTCCAGAGCAAAACTCCAAAACCATTATATAATTCTTGTTGAACACTTTCTATATAGATCAGTCTAGTTTGGAACTGGTGCCTTTTGATAATTTCTTGTTTTTTTTCTTTTTCTTTTGTTTTGTTTTCATGGTTTTTCATGATGAAAACAAGGTGTTTTCCATTTCCGGAGCAGACCTCTCAAACCTTTGAATATTTCTTGTTGAATCTTGCTATAAAGATCAGTTTATGGTATTTGAATCTAGGGACCCTAAATCAGTAACTTTTAACATTATGGTTATGAAAAGGGCCCCTGCTTAATTTAAACTCTGCATGGGGTACTAAGCTGAAACTCATTACTGTAAGAAATAACAGTCTTGTATTGCTTTTTTTGCTTTTTTCAGATTATCTTCTAGTCCAGTAAAGATTTCAGCTGACAAGTCTGAAACAAAAACTTCACCAGTGAAGAGAAAACTTGATGCTGAATCAAGTGAGGATTTGTGTTGCAAGAAGGTCAAGCTCAAGTCTAATCAAGGAAGCCCAAAGAAAGGTTCAGATTCCAAAAAGAAAACAGATAAACACAAAAAGCAGAGTCCAGAAAGAAACAAAGTCAGGACAATATCAAAATTAGGGAAAGATGACAAAGATGGTAAAACGAAACCTTTAAAGCAGAATATGACAGCATCTGTCAAAGGTCATACAATTCAGTCGATTAGAGGACATATTAATCTTAAGAAGCCCAAACAGTGTTCAAACAATACTCCAGCAAAGCTTCCTAGTCGGAGTAGTTGTCGTCACATTGTGCAGAGGCAGTTAAGAAGTTCCACAAAAAATGTGTCTGGTAAACTTATTTCCCCAGAAGCCAACAAATCATCGCCAAGGAAACCGTGTTTGCGAGGTGTACAAAAAGCTCAATGTTCCAATCTTTCGAAACAAAAAAATAACAGACATCATAGTAGCATAAAGCAGAAAGTGCACGCAAGAAAACCCCGAAAAAGAAGCGATTTAAAGCACAAAAGTAAGCAGGCTGTGACTGTTAAGCAGCGGTCAAACATTATTAAGCATAAAAGTAAGAGCAAAAGACATGTTCGAAGGCCTGTTGAGGCCATGTCAGTGGATGAGGTGCTGGCTAAACAGCAGCAGGTCATTGCTGAGCACAGCAAAGAAGCAGACAAGTTTGAGGATGGTAACATCATTTCAGCTTTGTGTCAGCTTGAGGACAGAGCCAAGGCATTGCATTCACATGACCTTGATCTTCTTATGCCCATGACAGACTTGTTGTCAGCCAATCAGAATACTGTATTGGGTGTCAGGGGTCAAGGACAAAATACTCATCCAGGTGGTGTGTGGAAAAAATTAATTCCTGAAAATTAAGTGAATTCAACTTGATTAACCATATTGCGTTTTTATATATATTTATTTTTGTCATCAAACAACACATTTGATATTCCTTGGTTTACAGACACAAAATGAAATAGATCCTATGTGCTCCTTATTGGTCTATAAGAGAAGCAGGTAGCATCACTGGTCCAGCGGGTCTTGCTTTGGAAGAAAGGAACTCAAACCCATGGACAGCAGATCCTGGCATGGCAAAGAGAGGCAACTCTGTATAGCAAATCGTTTGGTCGTATACTACTGGGCTATCTGTGTTGCCCACTTGAATTTTACTACAGGTATTGCAACAATTCAACAGTAGACTGCATTTGACTGTCATCTGAAATGTGTCTTCAATATGATCCATTGGGATTGTAGGAGAATCTATGACTAGGCTGACTGTGTGTTATTGTACCCCAATGTTTATGAATCCATCTTCAGATTTAGGAGGTCAAAATGTTGTGACTCCAACCACAGTCTTAGTGTCAGCATCTTTATTTATTTATTCATTTATCACCCAAAACTTGCTTCCACAGGAGATTTCACAAGTGATATCTCCTTGAGATGTCACTACAATTAAATTGCACCACAATACTTTGCAGACCAATGTGATGTCATCAGTTACAATGATGTCAAAATCAAATGACATCACTAATCTCTGTGCCACTGAAGCTAGTTAGCTCAATAGGTGTACTATTTACACTCAAGACACTGGTTAATACGGTTTACAAACTGAAAAAGTTGGAAGAATGCTTTGGATGATAAATGGAATCTCGCCCGTGTCTTTCAAGCTCAAATATATCCTAAAACGTACTGATAAAAGGAAATATACCCTCAGCAATGCTCGAATATTTCTAGCTTTTGTCATCTCGTCTTGATATATTTGATCTTGGAACACCCCTTTGTGAGACTTTCTATTTATTTATATATTTATTTGTTTTATCCAAGGAGTGGGACATCCTTGGTTTGTCGCCCGCCATTCCTCATTCTGCACAATGACAGACTAACCGTCTACAGTTAGTGGGACTAAAAATATGTAATGCTCTTCTCAGCATGAAGTACCGGTTTTTTGTCACGAGAGGTAAGCTATCATTATCATTAGGGTGGACAACTGTTTTTACTACCTTACACTGAAAAATGGACTTATTATCAAAGAAGAACTACAGTAAAGATATCAGGGATGGTTGTTATTCAATCAGATGGATCAATTGTTGGTCTGCTCGTGCCAAAGGGAGTGAAACTGTGTTACATCATGTACATAGAATAAAGACTATAATGTATTTTTGTGTTTGTTTGTTGTTTTACACCCCACTCAGCAATATTCCTGCTATATGATGGCGGTCTGTAAATAATCGTCTGGACCAGACAATCCAACTATTGACATTATGAGAATGAATCTACGCAATTGAGATACGACATGCATCAACCAAGTAAGCGAGCCTGATGACCCGATCCCGTTAGTAGCCTCTTACGACAAACATGGGTTGCTGAAGATCAATTCTAACCCAGATCTTCACATATTTTTGTGACATTTGTGCTCTTGTCCGACTTCAATGTGTCTGCATCCCCAGCCCCATCTTCTGTATCACTGGTGGCACGTGGTACTGTCAACACAAATCAGGTGCACTACGCAATGTAGTCCATTCACTGAGAGTAGGGCGAAAACAAGAAACATTAGTCACAGGGAGTAGGTGGAAGAATGACCAGGCACAGCACAGCACAGCACACTGAACCTGTTATATGGGATGTCTGTTCAACCAAGAGTGAGTGGGTACCTAGTAGGTCAAGATGTAATATGACTTTAACCTAATGCCTCACAGGAATTATATGATCCAAAGGGAGCTGACAATGAGTGAGTTGTGTTTAACGCCGCTTTTAACAGTATTCCAGGTCTCGGAAGTTTAGAACTTCGGTGAAACCCACAAGCAAGGGTATGGTGCTAACAAACCTAGAAACATAATCATAGGTTTCTGACGTGTCCAAGGGATGCAACTCTGCACAGCGAATCTTTTTTAGACGACTCGGCCGACTGGGCCCCCCGTGCCCCCCAGCTGAGAATGAAATTCAAGTGCACACTGATCCATTGAGGGGGTAATAATAATGTGAATGGAAGTTGATGCATTCTAAATTACCTTTATCATTATCACTGCTAATGTTCAGTCTTGTCCTCAGAGGCACCTAAAGAGGATTGGGTGGTCAGACAATGACATGGACGATTGCTTGTCCTTTAGCCTTGATTATGTTGATGATTGCTCATGCTTTCAGTCATTGGTTTGTCTGATCCAGTTGATTAAACCTTGGGGATTCATTGTAGAAATAGTCCTGGGTAATGTATGCTTGTGATAGTCGTTACAGTTCGGGTGTTGATTAGATGTCATTGTACAAACCCAGATCTCATGGGATGTTGATCATAATATCAATCACTGGTTTGTCTTGACCCGACTTGATTATTTACAGGTTACCATGATAACAGCAGGGATATTGTTTACTGTTGTGTAACACGATAACTAAATAAACAAATATCAAGAGTCACAACAATGAAATTTAGCGGATTTGCAGTGCACTTCTCAGCGAAGTCAGCACACCACACACAGACACACACGCACGCACATAGAAAAACAAGACAGAATTATTTACAAGAGTTATTTATTGAGGCTAGCAGCTTCATACTGAATATTAAACATGATATCAGTACAGATCTGATTCCGGGGATCCATAACTATGGTTACCCGACAGATTATCAAGTATGAACTGGTCATACAAAACACAGGTGCATCATACATAGCTATAGAGACTGATCCAAATCACATTACACTTATTGAATGCACTACACTGAAAATCATAATTACCACATATACTAGCAAATTCTCAACTCTTTTGCCACCAAATATTTAAAATATTTTACCATGATGTTCCAAATAGAACACATTTTCTAATGAAAATAATTCAAATCCTATGAACAAAGACCTGTCACATGTTATATACAATATATATACCAGCTAAACAAAACCACTTAGAAGTGGACTAAGGCAAGTTTTCATTCAATGATCTTACACATCCACAGACCCAAATTTGACGATGTTGATTACAATTAATATTCTGAAAACAATTTCTTTTCTTCCCATCGAGTCTGATTACTAATGTCAAAGAAGGTTGTAAGACAAAATAGGATGCAAATAATCCCCTCATTATATATTATACACTGCCATACTTGCCTTATTTCACCCGACTAACAATTCTTTCCAGAAATTGCTTACAAAACGTAATTTACTTCAACTTTTACCCTACAATTTTGGAAAAATTCTGTAAGATTCCAAAGAAAGAGGCTTTACTGATGTTAATGAGACACTATGCCAGTATGTGAAACTGTTAACAGTCTTGTAAGTGCAGTCTATGCTTGGAGATGGAGACAGTAGCACCCAGTCAGAAATCTGTATTATGCTATTTACAGTGTAGGATACACGAGACAAAATACATGCAGTGCTCCCTCCATACAACACGGTTTCATCACCAGGCAGCTGAAACACGCGTGACCAAGTTACCACGATGAGTGAGGGGAGACATTTCAACAGTATTTCAGTTTATCCTTTAATGCTAGATTATTGCAGGAGGAAAGCCTAAACTCTGGTGTAGCCCTCAAGCAGAGGCGTGGCGATTACAAACTAAACATTCAAATGGAGGAGGAGAGAAACTTTAGTATTCACTCTCTCAGTTTGACCCTTTCACATAACCAGGGGCGGTCGGGTAGCCTAGTGGTTAAAGCGTTCGCTCATCACGCTGAAGACCCAAGTTCGATTCCCGACATGGGTACAATGTGTGAAGCCCATTTCTGGTGTCCCCCGCCGTGATATTGCTGGAATAATGCTAAAAGCGGCGTAAAACCATACTCACTCACTCACATAACCAGTATAATTGGCCCATGGCCATTTGTATTCAGTCGACCAGCCAGCCAATGAGAGCATCTTGCATGGAGGGAGCACCTGGTTATCTTCAATGACAGCATTAGACTAGATACATAGGACACTGAATAAAGCAGTAGTCTGATATTCCTCAAATACCATTGTATCATTCCATGATAGCTTCTCACTCAAAACACTGAATTATGATCGAAAACAAAATCTCATGATATACATATACCTCGAAATCACACCACCAGCTTACCCCTACAGTACAAAAAGGAGCTTACCTTATAAATGGTCAATGTGCAATAGTCCAATGAAATGAAATCCTAAGTATTTGGTTATCTATTTAAGTAAAGAGTTTGATATCTGCTTAACTTATCAAAACTAGTTAAAGCATAAAAAGTCATGGAATGAAAGAATAATATGTCTGGATTACATGACCAACAAATAACATATTTGATTGAATCTAAATGTCAATAAGGCAATCCTGTAACCCATTTCATGAAATACTTGGACCTGTGTGTATATATGGTCAGTAATAAAGGGTCGTGCCATTGTATGAAATAGGGTATTAACATTGAGACCACCGGCAGTGTTTGAAGGTACAAAACATGTTATCACAAAAAATCTGTTTCTTTTCATTAAGTTACAACAATAAATAGGGATATGCCATGTGATTACAAATGTACTTGTTCATGTAATCATAGTGGTTTAGGAAAATCATATAATCCTTTCACATAAAAATTGTACATAGTGGAAATGAAATCTACAAAATTTAAATAAAACCATTTACAACAAAACAAACAGATATGCCTTTTCAGCTACAATATCAATTATCTGAATTCACTGGTTGCCATGGCAATGGTTTTATCTTGAAACCTTCACCTTGAAAAGGGATATTTTGATATTTCTTCAAGGTCACATAAATCCTAACCTACTGAATGCAACAACGCAAAACTATAACTTGTATAAAATTCTGGTTTTGATCATGGTCTTACACGGAACTTTGTAACTAAAAAGGCATCCAAACCTAACAGCGTTAGCATTGCAAGCTTACCAGCTGTTGCTGGGATACGGCGAAGCAGCAAAACAAGGCTTGTTTTCAGTGTGTAAGTAAAGGAACAGTCAAATGAACAGAAAACAAGTATACAGGTTGTATAACCATGCACGAGTACATCTCCATGGTTACCTCCGCCTAGTCTGTATGGTACTAAACATTGATTAATGTGTCTACATGTGTATGAAGGATGGATCATAACTGACAATAATTCAAGGGTTCTAAATTAAGGGGACTCCTGGGGTCCTTTGAGCTCCCCCAACAGTACTTCATCCAGGGACTCCCTAAATATTGATCTTTTAACATTAGGGCACCAGGACCCCTTGCTTTTCATCCTGAATTTCAAACACTGATTCAGTATACTGATAATGATTATTTCCATGTATTATATTATACGTCTATATTTGGGTGAATATTTGATGGTGTTATAAATCATTTTAAATTGTAATTTATGAACTCCAAAAACAAAATATAAATATTTACACACACACTAACAGGTATATGTCTAGTTTTAGTCCTAGAAAGCAGTCAGTTTATAATAGGGGAAAATCTTTTAATGTACATCTCAAATAAGACTGACAAATGAGGGTAATGAAATGCGGTACTGGAATGTGTGATAACTTGCATATTGTCCTACACATATTAAAGTCGTAACAAGTAACTGTAATAGAAGGTACCAAACTTGGAACAAAATTAGAATATTGCATATCTGATTGTGTTAATTACAATCTGATTTGAGCATCTTGTTTTTGAATGACTTCCCGATAAACACCTTAAGAAAACCACAATGCTGACTCAACTCTTTTGTAAATACAGCACATGAAAACACATCCATGGGTGGATCTCCAGCGTCTGGTTCCGTGCGGGAATTCATCCCAATACACTGCAAAAGTAGGTTCCAGCATGGCTTTTCTTAAGTTTGTTTATAAGTAGTTGTTGGCGAGTTAAGAAAGTGATTTGAACATCTTGTGAAATATCTTCCTGGTTATAATCTGACTGCCTTCTGGGATTAAGACTGCAATACATGATTATTTTCTGATCCATCTAAACAACTGACGATGATGACGACAATAAGCAGTTGGACATCAGTGCTGAGCAACTCCAAGCCAGAACACCAGTAGATACGGATCTACCACTTAACCCCTTAACTACCAGCTTCAATTTACAGCAGTAAATATCAAATGAAACATGATTAAAAAGGGTTAAGGTGGATTCCAACATGTAATATTAATCAATTCTTTACCCTTTCAATGTTATTTGCCACTGAAGTATGCACCTGCTTGGAGGAGTGGTTTCACACTGGTCAAAGCTGAGACAATGCCAAGGCCATGATTCAGTTAACAAGTTCACCATGAGCATGGCAATCCAAGCCTTAAGTTATTGGCAACACTTACAGGTGTGTTCATTGAAAGGGTTAAGAGTAAATCTGGAAGCTCGTGATAGTTGCAATAATGTCAACAGTCAGTTACATACACAGGGGACATATTCAAACTGAAGCAAGAGATGTCATACATGTCTTCCTTAAGTTCAAACATGGCCCAGTTTTGGCCAAAGCCGATGTAATTCAGCTGCTAGGTCGGTAATTTTGTCCAATTGCCTGTTCCTGCTTAACATGTGTCCCCAAACCTTCCCCACTATAAGCTGTCATAGTCTTGACTAGGAATCTGTGTGATGAACGCACTGGCTGGTGATCAGACAATTCCTGGTTGATGTTCACTGTCAGTGAACATGGATTGGATCAAACGATATGAATGACTAGAAGACTCAGGAGGAATTAAGTGTTAAATAGGAATAAACACCAGCTGATCGTGGATGAATTAATTTTAATTAACATGAAATTGGGAGGCTGAATTTTGAAAATTTATACACTGTTTATAATCAACCTTCACAGCACAGCAAAGCTGAGAGCAAGATTAGTTCCTAGCGACATTGAATGTCCTTGTGAGTCCCTCCACTTGAAGATTGTTTACAGCATGTTTGAACACCAGGAACCAAAATGAAGCCACATTTCATTGCAACATGGTGTTATTTTCCTAATTCCCTGACTGTTTGGATTTACCTTACACCAGTACATGATTAGCAAGGCAGTAGAAATGTCAAACATAGCCCGCTGATGTATGGTTCTTACTCACTAAAATAAATCCATTAGTGACCTGGGTCCACAATGTGTCGAATAGCGTGTCATGTGAGTTCCCTGACTATTAGATAGCATGAAGGTAGGACCAAGCTTAACACAGATTCCACACCAAGATATGACCAAGCCCCACCCAGCCCACGACACTGAAGTGCTGTGTACTCCTGTGTGAACGAAACATCCAAGTGCTCCCTAGTCTCAAAGTGGTTGTTGATAAATCATCTGGTTATTTCTGATTAGTTTGGTCTGATTAGTTATCTCAGAAGTCATACACCACACAGCCTCAAAATATAGCCCCTTGAGTGACAGCTATAACAGAATCATCCAAATGCTATGTTACAGGCTTGACAAGAAAATAAACAAAGCAAACATTAAATCATAAACATTTTAACACTAAAGGGGCAAAAATTAAGTTGAAATGTCCAAGGCAAGTTATAGAGAGAATGTAAATACACTGTAGCATCAAATTAAGAAACATTCATTGAAATGTTACAAATTCGAAATTCTAACGAAAATTCTTGAGGCATGTGTGGAAAATGTATGCATCACTTTTTGATTGTGAAGAGACGCTTCAATGTCCAGTAAACCTATTAGCAATAAATCCAGATTCAGTGAATCATTGTGGTTTATAGAGTACTTCGTTGTGAATATGAATAAAAAGTTAAACAACACAAGAAAATCTATGAACTGAGTTTATATCTAATTACTAAAACAGACAACAGTCTGTGAATTTACTGATGGGCATTTATAGTATGACAGCTGTTTTAGTAAAATTTGAAACCAGTTCTCTGTGTTCAAGAATGTTGTCTTTGAAAGAGAACTCTACTTGATACAATGATTCCTCAATAAGAATGAAACACTTAACTTATTACAAGAGGTTTAAAGGACATTGAAGCAAATCCAATATATTATAGAATTCTGTCTTAAAACCAGTGTTATTGCACTTGAAAATAATACCTTATTTTCTACAACTTTGTACAGTCAATCCTGTGCCGCCTTTCAAAGCAAAACCTCGGAATCAACTGATTGGGAAAGGAATGCTAATTCTTCTGTGTCAGTTAGTAACAAACATAGAAATCACATTCACATGTGGCTCAAAGTATGTATTTACACAAATGAAGTAGTTAGAAAAAAAAAAGAATATTAAGGATATACAATATAGAATATGGAATAGAATCAGAATACAATTGATATAAAAACTGATATTCACATAAGGCATGATATTATAGAATCACAGAGTATAAGTGTTTCGCTACTTTTTTTCCACAGAACCATTTCTCATGACTAGATATTTCAGTATGGATGGATATATCAACATAATTGCAATTCTCTCAAGACTTGCAAATGTGGCTTGGCAGTGACTTCTTGGAACAACATGTTCTTTGCATATTGGCTTATTCATATATAAAGTAATAGTATACGTAACTGTTTTTTCTTCTTATCAATTTAATTCAAGGAAATAAGCAAACATCAGTCATAAAAGGTCAAACCCAGCACTTCGGTATTGTCAGTATTGGTCCTCAGTAAAACATCTACTGTCTACAATTATTTTTAAAATCAAATGATACTTGTATGAAAAATGTGACTTGCACTTAACTAAGTACGTCTTGTGGCCATATTTACACATTTACATCCATGTAAGTTACACACGAATATATACAGTTCTTGTAGCATTCCTTTACCCAATCAGTATCTTATTACAGACCCCTATTGCTTGAATGAATACCTAATCAAGCCTAAGGAATTTGTTAAGATGAAGGATTTAGAGCCAAAATGTGCTGTAATACCACTGTCTGACCAACCCTCCATATTCTGAGAGAAATTGATGTATTTAACGAAAACTCTTGCAAAATTTACACAGGAAACTTTGTTTATTATGCTAAAGTATGAGAGATATCAGAGTGGTGTTTGCATTACAAGGCACATTTTGACTCATTTTTGTGCACGTGATTCATAAACAAATGGTATTTATTAATGTTTCAAATGCATATGCTTGACAGTCATTGACATCACATGCACAAAAATCCAACAAAGGTGGACCCATTAATGTCTAACCCCAGTGTATCCTCAAGGGAGATAACTCTAGTCATAGGGGTAGACGGGAACACCCATTTGCTCCGAGGCTGATAGGAAGAGCACCAACACTATAAATAGACAGGCAATGGCCCCTAGCAGCTCGCCCAATTGTCATACGGCCGACTGTTTGGGGTTGGTTCCTATGGCGACAAGGGCAGCAACTGTGATTGCCACACGGGAAATACCCTTCTCTTCAAGAATATCGTGAGCTGAACATATCTGCTCCTGAAAGGATTAAGAAGAATTGAAATAAATAAAAGTGGTATAGCATTGCAAAGCATCACAAAATGTTATTAATAAAACTGTTCATGCAAAAAACAAGAATATGAACAATTTCTGTGTTTGGGTTATACTGCTCATTTAACTAGATGAATGACCTGTATGCTAAGATTAACAACTACCTACTTTATCAATCATTTCAGGGATTAGTATGAGGTCAAAAAAGCAATCTTGATATATTACAGACTTTCAACCTTCACCTTACAGAAAACAACTTGCATGTCAAACATCTCAAGGTAATTGCAGGCAAGATATCTTCATTATTATTGTTTCTAACAAGGTTTATATAATTAGTTTTAGGAAACAACGATGAAGTGAAGCGATTGGCATGATTTGTCATTGTGATGGACTGATGTTTGAAGTAAGAAAGAAGAAGGGGAATGTGCAGTGTATAAACGTCAATCTCCGAAACAGGATCACAAGCAATGAAAACCATAATACTTTCAACAACCAAATTAATGTTCTGTAAGATCTAAATTGCCTTCACAACATCAATACAACAATAAATGCAATGCAACAATGTAATATGTTTAACAAGCACAGATTTTGTTCTTTCACCAAGTACATTCAAGGTATGATTCTTGTTTTATCAAATATCCAAATCAGGGTGTTCACTTAATAAATTATATATATATCAGTGAACATGAACATTGGATGTATGTACGCACAGAAGGAATGTAACAACGTGGTAAGACAGAGTTGTATGTATGTGTATATAGTAGGGATGTAACGAAGTGGGAGTACAGTGTTGTATCATGATACATACTAGCCAATATACAATATGTCAGGCTGAATGAGATTCTGAACCCATCATGGCAAGACATTAACTATAGTAATACAAAGGATTCGGGTGTTCTTGAACTTCTTCAGCAGTATATATACAGGAGAACATGGTTTTAACGAAACAACGGTTGTACTGAACTATTTCAGAAGTCCTGACTGCTTACTATTTAATTAATCATTTAGAATTCACAAAAGGAACAAATTAACAAACACAGCAAACTGATATTTCATCTCCAAGAGACCTTAAACTAAATATTAAGTAAAAAAAGTATGTCAAAATCTAGCACGCTCAAGTTTCATAATTCAGCGATGAATCCAAACTATACTTGTCACTACAACACAAGTCCATATCAAAGATATAAAACCAAACAATTAACTGAGATAGCGTGACTGACATATTTGATTTTGAGGTTCCCAAAAGGTGACCTAACCTTACTTCATACAATGCATCTGTGAGTGAGTGAGTGAGTGAGTGAGTGAGTGAGTGAGTGAGTGAGTGAGTGAGTGAGTGAGTGAGTTTAACGCCACTTTCAACAGTATTCCAGTCATATCTTGGCGTGTCAACTAAGTGTGGGAGGAAAGCCCAAAGTGAAGCAGGTGCAAGTATCAAACAAGCACGGGTAGGGTTCTGACAAACCTAGAAACATAATCAGGGCGAACTAGGATTCGAAACCCATGATCATAAGTTTCTGGTGTGCCCAAGAAACGCATTTCTGCACAGCGAATTGTGGCACCTAAAATGCAAATAAACCGATATTGTTATTTCTTCCTGTTCTAAACGCACGATCAACAACTCATTTAACTTGTGTACCACAATGTTCGTGTTTCACGCTGCAGAAGAGAAACATGACTTGGAGAATAACAAACTATGGATATTTATTTCAACGGTCCCTTGGAGTTGGTTACAACCATGTTCTGCTGTATGTCTCCAAGTTGGGCTTACCCATGACATGAACTTACAATAGTGTCAGCCCTAAGATGTGTTTCTTGGATGAGACTAAGCAGAAGACTTAACTGCATCTTTATAGGAACAATATATCATAACACCTGTATCGGACACCCCAGGCACCATGTCTTATATGAGCACTCATAACTGTTGTATACACTAACACTGACTGCAAAGGCAACACTCCCTTGTCATCCTTTTGTCCACTGTCAATATTCAAACAAGCTATTGCTTTGATTAAGGCTGAGTTTTGATGACATTCAAAAATATTAGGCCATCTGTTTCTACATTATTTTGATGATTGTTCTTGTTGTTTGAAAGCAAAGAAACAGCTGAACACAGCTGGTATAAAATAAAAGGGCTAGACTGAATAAAAGAAATATGAAAAGTATTTCAAATTGAGCACTGAAGGGGAATAATAAAATAGGGTTATAACCACATTGTTGGCAATACATCAAAGGTATGAAATATATTACAAGAATATTTCAAGAATAACAGGATTAAATACAAAACCTTGCATGCCTTGACACACACATATGAACTGTTAAAAGTAAAAGTTCACACCTACGATTAGGAAACTACCTCAGAAATGTTGAGCTTCAACCATGTCTTTAAACAGGATATTAGGACAAGATCATGACATACACAATATTGGAGTATACACTATACATTTTTGCTAAGCTAGGCACACGAGTTATAGTTACAAAACATCAAAATATTTTGATTACAACAACAATCATTTACAGCAGTCAACAAGTCATGAACAATAACGTCACTTGATTACATTGCATATGTCGGACAACTGATTAACAGTAACAAGGATCCAGTTCATCATTGCACCTGTGATATAGACACACTGCAACAGCAAACACACCTTGAATTCATGGCATAATATAATAAGCTATTTATTGCATAATACAAATTAACAAGGTTCATAAGCAGTAAACTGAAAAGCTGACATGCTTAATATTGTTTATAGGTGATACAGCAGAGATCATCGGTATATGGTCTCTGGATACAACGAAAATCCAAATATTTCTCAAATACTGATTTTTTTAAACCAGGACCTGGGTTTGTGTGATACTGAATTCTGAAACTGTAGACAACTGGCCTTCCATAATTATGTCTTATGATTCCACTGTTATTATTTTGATTATGATGCATTCTGTATACGAGTAATGCCACACATTGCCATAGCAACTAATTATACGGGGAGAACATACAGTGAAACCTCAAACATTGTTAAACTCAACACACTCCTGAAGTCTATGTACCGTATTTCCTCTTTTAGGTGCTGCTGGGTCTTCAATACACTCCTTAAGTCTATGTACCGTATTTCCTCTTTTAGGAGCTCAAGATCTCAAGAATAACAGTTTCCGATTTTATACTGTAATATGTTGGTGACTAATAATTAACATTTCCTGCAAATACTATTTAATACTATTCAATAAGACAAAAGTTGTCTGGGAGATGTGTTCTCGTTATCTTAGGATAGCATCTATCTAACAAAATAAACTATAACTGAAACTACTGATATTTTGTTTCTGCATTTACCTATATTATGTATTACTTGCTATTCTATAATTATATGAAATTTTGTATAAATGTTACACCATGATAACTTATAAAAGCGCTTGCTGTGGATCTAATTATTATATGAAAACTTAGTATAAATGTTATATCATGATAGATCACTGGAAATGTCTTAGAAAATCTGAATCTTGTATATACTTGAGTTTGTCCATTTTGTATTTGATAATAAATTTCATTTCCATCATTGGAATTCCTGAAAAACCCCAAATGTGTTTGATGGTCCCAATGACAATGCTGAGGTTCCACTGTAAAATATTTTATGTCGCAGTTTGGTGGGATCTTTTCATTTAAGCTTGCTCACAGCTGTCTTATGCCAGGGCTGACCCAGAGAAATGAAAGCCAGATTGGTATTGAAACAACAGTCTATAAACCATCAACAACATATTACTAGCTAAGGCATGGTGATAATGTATCACAGCTTGCTAATGTTTGATTGGCTGAAATCATACAACAGCTAACTGATTCAACCAATCAAATTTGGCAACATACTGACATAGTTAACGACATCCTCACTTCACTGCCACAAAATACTATTTGTCGGCTGTCATTCACATCTTATACATGGCGCAAAGCAGTGACCAGGAACATTCGGCAAGAGATTTTCTTACATATGCAGGGCTCGATTTAGCTGTATAAAACATGCACCAGTGCAAGCTATTATTGAAAAATGAAAACCTAATATTTATGTCTTCCTGGACCAAGCGCTTGTCAAAATCTATCAGCAATCTTTGAAAACATTCAATACCTCCAAGCTTTATTTACCACTACATCAATAATAAATGTGTTATGTGTATGTGTCAAGCTTTTGGAGGCGTGATGTCATCAAACTGTGGGTACTAAAAGACAATGTTTCAACTGTGATAAATGTAGGGGACAATGGTGCAACCTGTTTCTGTCTTGTGCAACTAGGTTTTCATGTCACCATGCACCTGGTGCAAGTTAAATCAGTTCCTTCAATCGAGCCCTGATATGCAGTAACATGCAGTAAAATTAGTATAATAAATATTGGAATTAATAAGTTTGAGTGAGTATATTATCAAGCATATCACTATGAGTATTGCATGTTTTCTTTCTCTGCAAATACTGTTGGATACATAGTGATAATTTGTCACAAATAGTAACAATTGTCTGTGACCACTCTGAAGACACTGCCATAACGGACAGTCAGGCACCAAAGTCAACATATAAAATCAACACAAGGGTTCCATAGAAGCCTCTGAGCAGGTATTGGGTTGGGCTGTATACACGTATACTCCCCAGGGAGCTGAGAATGAAAATCAAGTGCACACTCATCCACTGGCCGGAGTAATAACGTTAGCACTTTCAGCATGCACCTTGTGTATGCAGTCTATAATTAATATTATTATTAATAAAAATTATTATTATTATTATTACTGAACACATATGAAATCTCTGGATACTAAACATATTGGTCACAGGCTAGTGTAATAACTCAATTTAAAGTATATGGCTCTTGTCCAATGAGAAATCACCATTTGAACTCATGAAGTACATAAAATGATTGATACCCTGATAGATATTGCTGTCTGCTCAAATCATAGGAGTGGGTGCTGCCATGCATTTCATGCAACATATCTGCCTGTGCTTCAAGCAACATAGAAATCTTGTGACAGTGCAGTATTTAGGATACAAAGACCCTGAATCATAAACACAATGACACCATCCTGTCACAGGTCCTCTTCTATTAATCACGGAGTGTGACTGAGTTGGGTTTATGTCTCCCTTGGCAATATTCCAGCCACATCAGGGGACACCAAGACAGGGGTTTCACACAGGGTATCAATCTGAGGAACTGAACCCATGTGTTATGTGTGGCAACCTGCCGCTTTAACCACTAAGCTATTCCACTATCTTGCTATTATTAAGTCAAAGCATATAAAACGCCTCTAATTACACATTATCTTACGACCTGCCACTTTAACCACTAAGCTATTCCACTATCTTGCTATTATTTAGTCAAAGCATATAAAACGCCTCTAATTACACATTATCTTACGACCTGCCACTTTAACCACTAAGCTATTCCACTATCTTGCTATTATTTAGTCAAAGCATATAAAACACCTCTAATTACACATTATCTTACGACCTGCAGGTCACACAAATATATAGAAGGAGGGGTATTAATTCCTTTAGGGCACCTGCTCATGAGATCATGGTACCCTGTGTTGGTGGTATGTTGTAACCGCCATGCTGACTACGACCTTATTTGGACCACATACCAGTAGGCAAGTCTCCAAATTTGAGTTGCCTCCCTTGTAAATTTTTGATTAGCCCATGGTCAATACTGACATGCATGAAAGTGATAGGCAAGTCTCCAAATTTGAGTTGCCTCCCTTGTCATTTTTTCTATTTGCCCAATACGGACTATATCCCATGTGTGAAAGATGCCTGCTGTCTTCTGCAGTAACTACACAGGTGGTTGGAAGAGGAAAAAGCATGTGAGACAGAGGATGGCTATACAGAGGTATGTCACATAATAATCAACAGATGTTAGTCGTGGAAAGGTGACTAAATGTTGCACAGTATTAGCGACGCGTGCAAGTCGAATTTCCTCCACTATATCTTCACATGCACACAGGTCAGCCTGAAAAATAGGACGCAAACATTTGGTCCTAGTCCTAAAATTATAAATAGAATTTAACATTTCAAAACATGATAATTTATAATCACATCATATCAGGACAGCAACTCAACACTCCACAAACAAGACCCAAATACTGTCTGTTTACAGAACATACTAAATTGTCTAATCATTTCTTCTGTTTAAAAGACTGAGATTTTTAGACCTATCTTGCATGTAACTTTCAGTTTTGAGATTCTCCCTGAAGCTAAGACTGTGCAACAGATCAGTCAGCCATTTTGACAACAGCATGCTGGGATTGCAACATAGGATGATGGACAAGTGCAGGCATTGGTAAACTGAAATAAACAATACAATGAGCTATGACAAAAACATCCATCCATGCAGGTCAAAGGTGTTAAGAATTAAACTGGCTTGGCTAAGTGAATTTCCGTAGAATAACCAAGATTTACATAAGCGGCAAAATATCAAAGCATGTTAGTACATATAAATGTTTATTCCCGGGTAATAATAGGTAAAAAGCATAAAATATCATGTTAGTAGAAATAGGCCACAATCTTGATTAATTGCTGAACATAATCTCAACAATGAATAATTTTCTCAAACCTGGACAGTAACCAAGACAACATGTAACAATCACTGTCACATTGGAGGTCAAACACAAATTACCTACGTAGTTACATTTAAAGTGAGAAAATACTCGTGAACAACCATCAACAGGAACAAAAGGGGGGTCCTTCATCAAAAACAGAAGGTTTAAAAAAAAATTCAAAACATTCAAACCCAAATAATTTATGACAAGTCTAGCATTAGCTTCGTACTGATTAAAGCTGAAGCACAGAAAAAAAGACACAAAAAAAGAGAAATTATGACCATGCATATTGACTGTGATGTAGACAACATAATGAAATAAAGATATTTCCCTCCTTACACAATTGATAAAGAAAAAGGAATAAATTGTTTTCCTGCTATTTTGGCAAGAGCAGACAGACCAGTGGTTGATAGAATGAGCAACAATCCATACAGCCAGGGCATGTATCACACCATATCATACCAGCTTGTAATTAGTCAAGTCTGCGGCAGACAAACCAGTGGTTGATAGAATGAGCAACAATCCATACAGCCAGGGCATGTATCATACCATATCATACCAGCTGGTAATTTGTCAAGTCTGGAGCAGACAAACCAGTGGTTGATAGAATGAGCAACATTCCATGCAGCCAGGGCATGTATGGCCTATATCATACCAGCTTGTAATTTATCAAGTCTGGAGCAAACAAACCAGTGGTTGATAGAATGAGCAACAATCCATGCAGCCAGGGCATGTATCACACCATATCATACCAGCTGGTAATTTGTCAAGTCTGGAACAGACAAACCAGTGGTTGATAGAATGAGCAACAATCCATGCAGCCAGGGCATGTATGGCCTATATCATACCAGCTGGTATTTAGATAAGTCTGCGGCAGACAAACCAGTGGTTGATAGAATGAGCAACAATCCATGCTGCCAGGGCATGTATCACTGGGCAAGTTGACTTTGAAGGTAACATTGACATCACAACATGCTTGCATTTTGTAGAAGGAAGCCCAGAATGGAATCTGGTGGAACCACACGTTGGATACGATGCTAATTTGAACAATAATTTTGTGACATCCGATGTCCAGAATGAAACCAATGCCCACAGGTGATGGGTATGGTTCTGACAAACCAAGACTTACAATCTTTGGCAGCTAATCTCTTCATTATGAATTGTGAGATCACAGGAACACTCATGTCCCAAACAGAAAAATCAACAGGTTTGCCGCTGCAGTGAAGACTGCCTCCGTGGTCTTGTGGATAGAGTTTCTGCCCAGAGAACGGTAGGTCAGTGGTTCAATGTCCTGGTTGCGTCATATCAAAAGGTGGTACTTGTTATCCTGCCTGGTGTTACGGGTACAAAACAAGGACTGGTTGTCTCGGTGTGCAGTGTCTCAGTGGGCCTGGCCTGGCACAAGCAGCCACACACATGCACGTCGCTTTATATTTAGTTTAAGAACCTTGATTAGTTCTGATGACACATATATCATGTACATGATCAAGCAGGTATCAGCATGGAAGGGTGCCTGCCAAAGAAGACCAGATCCAATACTGTCCTCACTTCATGAAGCAATAGTGCCCCAATTATAATACTTTAACACAGGGTTACACAGGAGTAACTGTTACTGTCAGTACAAGTCCCATCATTCCAGTCACTATTTCAGTGCCAAAACATCAGACCAGTATCAGATTACAACATCTCTCTGGCTTGACTTAATAAAACCAGTTGGGGTTATTTTAGACTAACAATTATAACAAGTTCAAAATTGATCATATTTGTCTTATACACAATGTACATGTACTAATAATATGTTAGCAAAGTAAAAAGTCACAATAACACGAAGCTTGCCAGAATACAGCTGGTATGTTTTGCCGGAACAGGCAGAATGTTAGTGGATTGTGGAAGACAAATATGGAAAAAAGAAATAAGAAATATCACATGCATACCAGCAAAAGCGTTACACACATTTTCTGAACAAATTAACAAATAGTAGGAGACTTTAGATTTCTTTGAAAACATCCGTTTTTATACAAATATCATGATAAAGCAATCATGCACTTTGCAAAGAGAAATTCTGGAATGGATATTGATTTTCTTTAGTCCATACACATTTCGTGATGTTCAAGCAAAGAAATGATCAAATCATACATTGAAACCTGTGAAAACTGACATCACTTTTTCGGGATTTTAGGTAGAAATGTCCTCTGGAATGACAATTAGGAACCAAATCAGAGTAAACTTTTTTGCACTGTTGCAAGCACCTCTAGTTGTCAGGACACAGTCAATACTCAGCTAGCAGCTGGGCATGGTGTCTGTCAGGGTCACCCACAGTTACTGGACTACTCACACCAGTGGGGCCTCTAGTTGTCAGGACACAGTCAATACTCAGCTAGCAGCTGGCCATGGTGTCTGTCAGGGTCACCCACAGTTACTGGACCACACACACCAGTGGGGCCTCTAGTTGTCAGGACACAGTCAATACTCAGCTAGCAGCTGGCCATGGTGTCTATCAGGGTCACCCGATGTAACAGGACCACACACACCAGTGGGGCCTCTAGTTGTCAGGACACAGTCAATACTCAGCTAGCAGCTGGCCATGGTGTCTGTCAGGGTCACCCGCAGTTACTGGACCACACACACCAGTGGGGCCTCTAGTTGTCAGGACACAGTCAATACTCAGCTAGCAGCTGGCCATGGTGTCTATCAGGGTCACCCGATGTAACAGGACCACACACACCAGTGGGGCCTCTAGTTGTCAGGACACAGTCAATACTCAGCTAGCAGCTGGCCATGGTGTCTGTCAGGGTCACCGACAGTTACTGGACTACTCACACCAGTGGGGCCTCTAGTTGTCAGGACACAGTCAATACTCAGCTAGCAGCTGGCCATGGTGTCTATCAGGGTCACCCGATGTAACTGGACCACACACACCAGTGGGGCCTCTAGTTGTCAGGAGACAGTCAATACTCAGCTAGCAGCTGGCCATGGTGTCTGTCAGGGTCACCCACGGTAACTGGACCACACACACCAGTGGGGCCTCTAGTTGTCAGGACACAGTCAATACTCAGCTAGCAGCTGGCCATGGTGTCTGTCAGGGTCACCCAGCCCAACAGTAATTATACACAACTCCAATTGCTTTGTATCTGTCAACTCTGTTGTGAGTGAGTGAGGTGTTAAACACTACTTTTAGCAGTATTCCAGTAATATCAGCTTAGTGTGGGAGGAAAGGCCCCTGTTGCCATTAGTTTATTGTTGAGTGGGGACGTGGGGAGAGAGACCCACATGTACAAGGTGGGATTCTACAACATCACATACAGGGGGTCGTCCCATGTCATTGTCTCTTCCCTTAAACTTGGATATGAATTCAATAGTCAAAGGAACAGTTTTCCCAGGTTTCAATGAAGTTATAAGAAGAGTATTTGCTTTAGGAAGTGTGTTGCGCTCTTGCTGCCAGTACAAAAGAAAAGATGAAGACAATGCACAGTCTTAGCCTGGTTCTAAATGAAGAAATTAAGCTATCAGTAAATTATTCTAATGACCACGGAAATAAATATGCTATTTTTTTTCTGAATGACTTATTTGTGTCTTTCAGTGAAGTACCTTTGAAGCTCATATTGTCATTTTAGTAGTGAATATTCAAGTGAAACAGGTCTACACAACTGCTGTTAATTTCACAAATTGCATGCCTACTTATCACTGTCACAATCAACAAACACATCTCTTTGATCATGTCATCTGAGTATGTCATTTCTAAAGCAGCGTTACCAAGCCTTAATGACAAACACAACCCTCTTGTTCATAGACTACAAACTTCTTCCAGGAACTGGTTCCACCACCTCCCTCACTCCACCTTTGCCGCACTCAGTATAAAGTTCATAGATACGCTATGTAAGGGACCAGTTATTATTCATTGTGGGGAGAAAGGGGCAGAGGTGGTTGATTGGCAATAAACTGCTGTGACAAAATAAGTGATCCCCTACATAAAAAAGACCACTCACAGTTTCTGCATAAATTACCAGCATAATATTACTTGATATGTATAAGGCCAACATGTGCGACAGTAGGTAATAAAGTTACCAATATTTCTTATAAATAGCCACAACACTAAAAACTTTGTGTTTCCCTTCACAATTTAGTATTACTTTCACTCTTCCTTTATTGTCAAAAAGTATCCAACAGAAAAGGGTTTACATGCCACAGTATTTCTGACATATCGAGTAGAATCTTGTTTTCAACAATTATGGACATAAAAAGGTTGTTTCGAGAAATGATGTACTGATGGCAAAATGGAATGAGGTTGATGTGGACTACAGAGTAGCATTGTCTGTCAACTTATTCTACATGTTCATCAAGACTCTTGCTGGTACCCCAGGCAGAAGCCTCGCCCAACACAGCCCACTTCTTACCTTTCACATAAGACATAAACCTTCCCAGCATCCTCTCTGCCTGTACCCAGGGTATGGGCATTGGGAAAATACCCAAGAGAGGATAACTCCATGAAGGTCAGAATTTTCAACTAAGTAACATGAACTAGAAAGTAACAAAAGTCTTCTTCATTTCAACCAAATGTTAAAGTGCTATTATTAGTAGAAGTGTCCATAAGGCTAAAAAAATAACTATTGTGGTTCTAATTACAACAATTTTGGAATTATGATAAGTCTGAAGTCATAGAAAATTAAATATACACCAGCTTGACAACAGGAATATCCTGTAATGTATTGAAAAAAATATTATTAAGGTTCAAGACTTTGGTCTGGTAATTTGAATCACAACAAGTTGTTTTTCAGCCCACTGTCCTACCCGTTGGCTCCATCATCAAGACTCTAATGAGTATAAAACAACAGCCGATAACCCATTCCTCCAACACCTGTATCATTTGATAGAGCAACATAGTACTTACTTGGTCCACTCCTATCTTCCGACAGGCATCAAGAAAGTTTTCTACATTTCTTCGACATTTTGCCATTGTCAGCTTGGGCTGAAACGGTTAAGGCCATAATTCAGTGATATGTCATTTCAAGGATGGTTATTGACCACTCCATTTTTAGTACCTATGACACTAATGAAATAAGTAGAAATAATCACATGTTTATATTCACGCTGGCATAAATCTTGCATCGACCAAGCACATCTCACCACACATTCCCCGAGTCCCGTTCCCAAAGCATAAGTATGACTGCCGAAAGTCTTTGTGACACATCAATGCACTGGGAATCCTTAAACAGTCTTTCTCGAGGGGTACGGGTGTCCCAGTTATCTAAGGCATTGCAATTCACTGTGCAGAGTTGCCTCCCTTGGGCATGCCATCGTGGGTTCAAATGCCGGTTTGCCCTGATAATATTTCTAGGTATGTCAGCACCGCACCCCTGCTGCTGGGTTTTCTCCTACATTATACTGCCACACGGTGAAATAACTGGAATATAGTTCAAAGCGGCGTTACACCAAAATCACTCACTTAACAGTCTCTATCATTCTTACCACAGCGGGAGACGGGACATGGATGCTGCCCACCGAGCGTGGTCGAATCTGATTGGCTAAGTGGCACAGCACAACGCCATCCTTCAAGGCATCAGGTAGGTTTTCAGGCAACGTCACCTTCAGACGAGACTCGATTGTCTGTGAACAAAGATCATGATGATGACGACGTGAAATCAAACATAGTTTCACAAACAAATATATGCATCACAAAAATCACAAACTTGATCACACTAAAGCCACACACTTGATTCACATCAGACAGGCACAGAGGCATAACAATGTGATACATATTCCAATACTATGGGTGCAATACTTATATTTCATCAGTTGATATTCTTTCTTCTTGCAAGTGAATCACAACCCTGATTTGTTATTAAATGTCAGAGATAGAAGGTGGGATCTTGCAGGGCAGAAACATATAGGCTACAGGGCACTGTCAATGTTATGCTGATTATAGTCAACAGGGAAATACTAGAGAATCTGCGTAAGCTGGTTGTTTCTGTTACTATCTACATGTTTTTATATCAACATAACTTGTAATGTATCACAATACAGGGCATGTGAATCAATGTATTGTATCATGGACCTGGTATCACTATACAAAACTGTATTGTTGAATTGTTACACAGGACAGAACATGGCCTTAAATCACTCATACCCAAGCTGGCAGAACTGAGCTGACCACAGTCTGTCTACAACAAAATGTCCTGTCACAAAGCACAAAAGGACATACTAGTATACATAATCAATTTGTTTGCCAGAGTAGATGATATATTTTAAGTTCAAAATTTTTAATCCACAGTTCAAATGATAATTGTTTAACAGATGGAAGGTGAAAAGTGTTATAAGTTTTAGTAACCGTACATGATTTAAAAATAGAGTTAACAAGCAAAGAATTTCTGTTAGGGGAGACATTTTAAGTAAATGAAAATAGGACCTAGAAGCCATGTGGAAATATCACACGATGTTTACAACATGCCTGAGTTGAATTTTATGCCACCTTTAGCAATATTCCAGTAATACCACGGCAGGGAACACCAGGAATGGGCTTCACATATTGTACTCATGTGGGGAACCCAGGGCTTCAGCATGACGAGTGAACGCTTTAACCACTAGGCCAAACCACCGCCCCTGAACTCACAGTGTGTGACTTGAATTTTAAGCCACCTTTAGCAATATTCCAGTAATACCACGGCGGGGAACACTAGGAATGGACTTCACATATTGTACCCATGTGGGGAACCCAGGGCTTCAGCATGACGAGCGAACACTTTAACCACTAGGCCACCCCACCGCCCCTGAACTCACATAGAGTGAGGGAGGTTTATTAGAGTGAGCAATATTAGAGTTACTTCATGGTGGCCAGAGACGATCGAGAGTTAATAGTGGGAGTGACAATACACCCTCTTGAAGCCAGGGCACTATTCCAAACAAAGATCTCAGCATTATGACTATCATCAGTTTCTGTTGGAGTCTGGGTGTTACCATAGTCGTTGTGTTGACATCAACTTATTGAATGGAGCCCTCACCACTGAAGAGATTTGGTCTGGTCATCCATCCATGTAACCTCCTGATCTCCATTCTGGTCAACATGCCCAGGGCCACTTATATAAAGTTAACGGAAATTGGCCGAGTTGTGTTTATCGACTCTTTAAAGAGTATTTCAGTTACACATCAGCATATCAGCTTCAAGCAGAGCAAAGCCTTGAGTGAAACCCACAGGCATAAGTACAGTCCTTATCAAGGCGAATCTCGGAATTCAATCTTTCATCCTGATGCACCTAAGGGAGACAACTCTGGACAGTAAATTTCAGCATCTTAAACTACTGGATCCCCATGTCCCCAGTTCACTAAGTCAATGGCAGTGAACAGAAACCTTTGAATTGTTGATAGATTCAGTTTCAAGAGAACTGCCAACAAAAACTCTCACATTATGTTTGGTTCATTGGTACATTTACGATTTCAATAATTGGCCTCGTTGATATTTGTCACATCAGCAATATCCTAAATAATCAACTAGGCCTGACAAACCAGTGAAATATAGCATGATCTATGTCCCTCACTGCCGAGGTATGATGAAACACAATCAGCCATGTCAAAGAGTTGGACTCACTTCAAGTGGCTCTTACGATCGTGAAATACAGAGGACATTCTTTTACCCGGATTGCCCACGGAAGCACTGACAGTGAGGTTAGTTCTAAGGAAAGACTTATGTTAGTTTTTAGACTTAGTATTTGAGCAGCTCACACAATACAGCAACCACACTAATGGGGTTAGTTCACAGGAAATACTACAGTACAAATCTAGGATAGACCAACTGACATTCAAGATGACAGGATTAGTTCCAAGAAAACAGTATTTTGGAATAAAAAAAACCACGAACTAATAAGACAAAGTGTTCAGGTTAGTTTACAGCAAATCGTACAAGATATTATACCTACTTGTCTTTATTAAAACCACAAGAATAACAAGATTAGTGTTAGGAATATAGTACATGGTATTATACCTACGTTTAGATTAAGATGGCATATTTATGACTACTTTCAGGAGAACAGTACACAAGTTACACCTAATAATCGAAAGTGCATTTTATGTTTTTGTTAGCAGTTGAAAGAGTCCAGTGTTGAATGAGTGAGATTATATGGTTGGTTAATCCATAATCTTTCAGCTGGATCATGTGATCAGAGTGGAAGAAAGTCAGGAGCAGAACAACACGAGAACATTGGTCCACAGATTTGGGTACAATGACATCTGAAAGTTGGTATTCCAAGGTGGTCACCATACACTATCCTCTCACATTTGATCTGAATATATCCTTGATTATCCAGTGTATTAAATCTCCATTCCATAATAATTACTCTGGATCATTTACCATCATCACTTTGTTGTGAATGAAATGGCATAACACTGAAAATATACATCCAATCTAACTAGGTTCTCGCATGATTGATGCACCAGTATTCAACTTTACTTTTGCAAGCCATGTTAAATGCAACAGCGATTGTCTTGCAGCTTAAGCACTTTTCTCTATTGTCATAGTACTCAGGAAAACATCTTTTCCAGTTAACAGTTCATTCAGAAATCGTCAGATTGGATTATATATTGAAAGCTCGGACGGATAGGGTCATTATTTTTAGCAATGTTGATATCAATAAGAATTGCACTGGTGATGTCACTTCCAAAACAAAGCTATGCTGGGGAATGTGTCTACGGTATGTATCCTATGCTGTAACAGAATGGAGATACAACACACAGAAGAAACAAGGATGTGACAAGCACAGAGCACTGGGGATGGCTTTTACCCCCATCACATTTGGCCCTACATGCAGAAGACTGCTGTCCTGGATGAATCGGACTATTCCTTGCATGGTGTTTTCATAATGCATAAAGTTTGTTACATTTGTGGGTTATAGTGCGATAGATACTGACTGGTGCCTTATCATTCAGACAACAGATCGGTGGTTTCAGAGAAATGGTTCACGGTGGTGTCATGCCTAATATGTCCTGTGGGTGTAACACCATGCTTAAACAGACTTACATCTCTCAGAACCACAAATTCTTCTTTCTGTTGGTGATACAGAAAATACAAAGCCAATACAAAAGTGAAACAAAAAACTCACACAAAAGCATTAAAATTTAGAATAGAAAAAACAAGTTTCTGCTAACAGTTCTAGTTCTCTAGTCCAGGGAATTGTCTATACATAAAATGCTAAAGAGACAATGATTAGGTATTGAATCTTAACCAATGCAAAGAAATAAGCTACCGGGAGTCTGTTGTCAGCATTATTGAGCAATTATCACATACAAGAGAGAAGAAATACACATAAAAGAGAACTTGTACAATGGCTATAGCCAGGAACTCCACATACTATGTTAGAACAGTAGCTAATGAAATCAAGTGGACAGATTCAAGGCAACAACTAAAGACTTTTACTAATGAATTCAAATTTCCGCAAGACAGAATGAGGGCACCATGTTGCAAGGTGAACTCAAGGTCATGGGCACATTGAGGCCTGGAGGGAAGCTTCATGGTCCCCAGTCCCCGAACCTCGGTAGGGGGGTGGGGAGGGGAAAGAGGAATTAATGGGAAGGTCATTTCTAAAATCAAATATGGATTTGGATTTTGAACCCAAAATTATTTTAAATAATTTGTTAAAAATTTGGTCCCAAATCCTCCATACTTTTTTAACCTCGTAGCGGATGTTTAATTCAAGGAATGAAGGTAGTAACATAATCATATCTGGCACCCACTTCTTTCAAGACTCAAAGTGCCCCCATGGAGAATGGATGATGGCAATTAAAGGTGCCTCTTTGACATGTGACTATCAACCATGGTGTCTGATGGCTATGATTGGACCCCGTTCCACCCAGTGACCAGACAACTGGTACTGAGATACCACTGTCTGTAGATGTTACCATGGTTAACAGACACAAGCACATAGCTATAATTTAAGGGAAAGGGTCACTGAATCAATGCTGATGATATGAATGAGTTTGATGGCTGAAGTTTAACTTACTGGTCTTTATGATAATGTATGCAGGCACTGGGCAACTTTCCAATATTTATCAAGTTCTACTTGTCCGATGGATATTATAAAGACGACTAGGCTCCCATTAATTTGGAGTCCTAGCAAACTCAGACCTTCAGTTGTTTGTCTGGGAACTGAAGTTATTTTATGCATAATGATCTAGCAGTAAATGATTACACGTAAAGCACAGAGACAATAGCTAAGATGTCACTGATGACAACATCTAGATTTAGACTGGAAATGTGTTCAAGGCCAAGGAGTACGGGCCCCTTTAACACGTCGTCGTCAACTGGCTGCTTTGTAGATCAGGATGCAGGTCACCCTTGGGTTGGGTCCTGTTGACTCTAAACCAGTGCAGTACCTATTGAAACTCCCTTGCTTCAACACAGACATAATATCAACAGTTGAAGTGTTTCTGCTAACATTTACAAAGAGGAAGCTGAACACAAATTCTTGGCTCCTATTAACAGCACTGTTGGTGCTTTTATGAATAAGCTATGGCACTAGTTTTGTGTGACAAGTCCTTGGAAGAAAAACTGACCTAATTCATTGAGTCTCCACAAAACAAATTTCAACATTATGTTCGACTTGGGATGCAACTAACCGTCCTGAGCTGTTCTATCTGTTCAATTTCCTCCAATCTTTGATCGTGTTGGCGGCGAATTGTGAAGTTGGGGTCGGCATCCTTGTACTCTTCCAACAACTTCATCGACGCCTGAGACAGCACTGAAGCAGGAAGAAACATAAAGCATGCACAGAGCTGTTGGGTGGATCTGTTTATTATCAATGGAGACAAAACATGTAATGGACACTTGAACAGGGATTGCACAATTTCAGCCCCTTGATTCAGCTGAATCAAGTCAGATGACTTACAAAGCCAATCAGAGGATGTTAAAGCATCTGGACTCAAATGATTTCACATGATTTCACGTCAGGCCATGTTTTTTCAGTTTTGTCTTTTACTGCCGAACTCAGCAATATTCAAGCTGTATGACATCAGCCTATAAATAATCAAGTTCCTGTGATTTAAATCGCGAGCAACGATCCAAGCCGTCATGGAACGATGACATGCAATCAACTAAGTCACCGAGTCTGATCAACAAATCCATTTTGTCGCCCCTTATGACCAGAATAAGTTGCTGGGGACCTGTTCTTGCCCGGAATCCCCACTAAGGTTCAAAGAAGACTGACTTAATTCCTTGATGTAGGATTGTTTGTTATAGAGGGCCTCGGAATCTGGACATCCAAACCATTGTACAAACCCTGTTCAATCATCCCAGTCACAGTACATTAGGTGAATGCACCACAGCTATTATCTCATGCTAATCAACATGGCAGGTAATGAACTTGTAAATAGTTGTCATTAGGTCGGGAAATATATTTCAGAACAGTACATCAAAACTTAAAATCATGCCAAATCAAAGTGTTTATGAATTTAATGAATTGTTAAGTATTTATTGTGAAACAAGATTTATATAGATGATATAAAATATAAATGAATATTGACAAGTATGTTAATAAATTACAAGTTATTCAAAAAGTTAGTAAAGAATACATTGGGTACAAAATCTGTTATAATGAATGAGTGACCATGATCTAGGGAAGAATATCAACATGCCCTAAAACATTACAAGTTAGGATTCAGCCAACAGAAAGACAAGGCCTCTTGTCCCAGTTTTCTTGAAGGAAACCTGAGTCCAGGGACCACTCGCACAAAGTGATCTTAGCGATAAGATGATCGTAACTCCCATACTTTAACATAGGCTTACAATAGTCATAGCACTAAGATCACTTTGTGCAAGTGGGCCCAGGTGGTATTAATCCACCCTCCTTCCACCCAAGTCACATGAAATCAAACCCTTCAAAGCTTATATGGTGTGTATAGGTACATGACTTCCTGTCCGTTCAGTCACTTGTTGATGGAGAAACTCAATTGATATGCCAGTCATGTAACAAAGTTTTATCACAACCATTTACAAATGTGTTCCTTATTCAAATCTTTAAGCAGAGGTAGAGATGTAAGAAAGTAAAACTCTCAATACAGCAGTAGAAATTAACATTTTTGGTCCACTAGTCTTTATAATGATAGTATAAAGTAAAACCCTTAAAAATGGCAAATATCCATGTGCTTATGATTCCTTAGCTATTGGGCAGTTTGGCAAGGACTATAGGACTAGTGCCAACTTCTAACCCTGCAATACCCATAAGGGTAGAACGAATGGTATAAATTTCCAATATTTGCACATTCAGTGATTCTCAAAGCTGACACAGTATGATGTGACACAGCCTCTTTGTTGAGAGCTATTATGACATCATCAATTGTTCATGATGTCACATGTTGACGACATGACGCCATTTAAACTATAGGTTGACTTCAGTGAGTTTTTCTGCTGGTTGACATTTCATGCAGCTTTTTTCATTTTCTTTCTTAAAGTGACAATAAATAATAAATAGAATAATCTATTCTAAACCTCAGAACTTTACAAGTTATTCCTGTAAATAAATACTGTAAGACCTGCACCTACCGCCTAGGACTTACAGCATTCATTCACTCAGGGGAGGTGATTGGCAATTCCTTGCTGGGAGTTGGCTTATTTCAGAAATATGACCGTTCTGTTATCTCCAGTCCATACATTTTGGTCTGATAATAAGCCAGATGTATCTGAATGTAACCTAAACCGTATTCGACGTAATAAGCACCTCGCTCTAAAAAGCGTCCACCGCGATATTTGTTAATATACTGGCTTGTGAACAATCCTAATTAGCACCCCTTCCGACCGATAAATATACACAAGGCTATTTATTCGTGCATAATATGTTTGTTATATGCACCCTTAATTATGGGCAATTAAATTCTGGAAAAATATATCTGTCGTTTATAAACATTTCAGCATAAACCACGAAATTTACGCTCTTTGAACTCTATAGTTTTTCACCAACATAATATTCTAATAAGAGCCCCCTATTTCTAATTTTGAGAGCGCCCTGGGCGCTTATTATGTCGAATACGGTATGCCTATCTCTCAAAGGGCATTAGTGGCCTTGCGTTAATATGTTTGGTCATCACAGTACAGATGCAGATTAGACTCCCAACATTGGCCCCATGTGTGAAGGAGGAGAATTCTTGGTTTCCTACACTGTAATATTGCTGGAATATTGGTTGAAGAAACATACAACCCCACTCACTCCCCCATCTCTAAGCATCCTGACTGTGTGATTCTGCTTTGAGCATTACTCATTCACATGGAGGAACAACGGAAAGACTTCACACATTCCACCCATTCTGGCATTTAACCTGGGTTTCATCATGACAAGCCAATGCATTATCCACTAGGCCACCTTCCCTCTCTCTTAGTGTAGGGACAGAAGACGTAATTGCAATCAGAAACAAAGTCATGGTCACTTGTATCTTGCAACATGCTGCAAACAACTTGTGTAGATGGGAATTGACAAGACTATGTTATGGATATATAGGGTGGTTACATTGGGTGGGCATTCTATGAACAATGCAAGGTTATGATTACAAGTAGAAATCTCTCATGCCAAGAGATTGCAAAAAGCAAGACCAGGCTTAATCTAAGTGATAGAAAAGTAAACATAGTATTTTTCAATCATTTACTGTAATAATAAACGTATCATTTAAAAGGAAAAATAATAACAAACTTGGATAATGAGCATCTAATCTTACCAGCACATCCAAGAGTTAAGTTACAATGTATGTATAATTGTATCATGTAGTTTCTCAGTTTTTACTTACAAATATGGTTGCATACTGCGAATTCAAACAGTTTTTAGTACCTCACAGTCGGGGTTTGATAAGGTCTTGTAAGATCAAAGTTACAATTCTTAAAAAAGGCATATTGCCTAAAGCTTCATTCACAAATTGGTAGTTGGGAGTAGTCTTTCTTGAAAATGTGCAACACCAACATCATCAGATGTCCCATTTCAATTAATATTTCAAACAAAATTTGTTGAGAAAACCTTTCACCAGACTTAAAAAACTTTGAAACTCTGTGATCATAAAAAAACAGACAGAAAGAGAGTCTGGAGGCATTCCATTCTAACATTCATCCATGTGAGGTTCACTCAAAGATTGAAGCAAGTTGTCAGTAAAGTAGCAGCAGCAGGACAGAAGCAGTCAGCAGGACAGTAGGATCCACAACCCGGTGGTGCCTTATTGGCTGACATACCTGGTCCTGAGTGTGTGTCTCTGGATTTGGGGTGTCTGTCTGTTTGTCCATTCAGACACTTACCAGATCGCGTACCTCGTGTTGTGCCCACGTTTGTGTTGCGAGGTGTCATTGAGCGTTTCCTGTCCTCAACATCACCTCTCTGTAACAGAGAAAACATTTTTATGATCTCATTCCTACATTGTTAATGTATGTTTGTTCAGATACATTAAAAGTTTACAGATCAATCATTTTAAAATTATAATAGATTGTTGAATTATTGCTCTTACTTGGAACAAAACTGTTTCAATGCTTTGTACACATATCGTAAGTGATGAAATGATTCCAAAACTGTCACATTGTACTTTTAAATTCAAGATGTGGTCATAGGATACAGTATGGGCTATTTTCTACTTAACATATTTTTAACACTGAATAGTCAATAACAACACTTTTTCATTTCTTTTCTTAAGAAAATGACAATTAATCACGTAAACAATCGTTAACTTAGACATGTTTTTATCAGAGCAGTTGATAGTGGTAAGGCATGCATGGGAGAGTAGTACATTTAGACTTTTTACAATACCAGTTGCTAGGAAACAAAAGACTGAAAGGGGAGACAACTGTAACAACAGAATTCAAATGAACATGGAAAGAAAGAGGTGGTGCTCCTTGAACTAGACAATGAAATTGGTACATACTTGAAGACCAATAGTGAGTAAACGTGAAGTGGGAAAAGATGAAGATTGAGATGAAATAAGAAACATTTGGGCAGGGTGTCAGTCCGATTTACAAATGGCACAAGACCTCTCTTGTCATGAAGCTGATCCAATGCTTAAACGTCTGAAAAAGATTCTCATAACCACCTTAGATTCAGATACTAAATTCCAATTTTATGATGACAAAATGTCCCACTAATCAGACATAAGTTACTTTCAATTCCATTCAGAATAAGTACATACCCATATCAGTCTTAAACTGTCAACTGAAATATTCTTCTAAGAAAACAACTCCATGACTTCATAAAGCACTCTATGTACTTACTGCAACAAATGAAACGCCCAGAATGCGACCCTCCTCCCTTTAGTCATTATCCAGTTAAGACAGAATAAGTTGTGCTGATGAATGTAACAATACCAAAGGCTTCTACCCACCACCATTTATCAGAAGTGTCAAACCAAAGTGCTGGAGCTGTGGTGACGTGATTGTGAACATGACTTTCAACAGTGGACACAAACAGAAGCAACAAGGACCCCCCTCCCCCATTTATTTAACCATAGATGAACCTGACTTCACAGACCATTATGCAAAATGATAATCCTTAATAACATTGCAGTAATCACTTGCATTCATACACTAGTTCATCCATTGCAGCATTTAAAACCACCACAAATCCTTGAATATACTTCAAGACTCCTAACACCCAGTATTTATTCAAGGCAGGCATTCTTTTTCTTTAGACAGCTGTTTGCATCAGGGTTTTTTCAATTTTGTTTCAATCCCTGTGGCTTGTGCCTAGCATCTGACCAGGCCACAAAGGAATGGACATAGTAATGCAGACATTTATTTCCAGTGTATCGGTTCACCTGGCATTTAGTCAAGGATTTGCAGTAAGAACATGTTTCACGGTCCTTGTCATAACCCTGATGGTTGTTACAGATTTGGGATCCCAAGGTTGAAATAATATAGGAGAACGCCTCTGTTAACTTCTACCCTGTCTGCCCAACAGCCCCTGCCCTGTGAAGTGAGTGCAGTGAGAGCGTGTACCGAGCGTGCTGCAGAAACCTTGGACACATAGTTATGCACCGCGTCTTTCTGGATGGTCTTCAGCTTGGAGTCCTCCAACTTCTTCTTCAGGTTGTGGGACTCCTGGCTATGCTGGTTCTTCATGGCTTGGTGCTTCTGCTTGAACTCTTCTTCCTGGAAAACATCACCATCGTACTGCATATTCTATTTACAAACACTCGCATCTTAAAATCAGGTGTTCTCTATGACAAAAGGAAGACTAGGCTTGTGCAAATTGGCACAAATAGACTGACAATGAACTCCAGAACCGATTCCACAGTCCCCTCCAAGGCCTAGGAGTTATCTCCCTTTATCAGTGCCCAGTGATGGCCATCGCTCTGCAAGTTCATTTTGACAAGCTAAAGTTTCTCTATGAGTAGAAACAACCTTACACTTGATTACAAGCATCATTTGTAGTTTAAATCGTAGCTTCCATCAATGAATTTTGACAGTTATTTACAGTTGAGTTGAGAGCAGCGCTCCTGATCATAACTACCGGGTCAGAGTTTACATTTGTTTGTTGTTAACGCTCCACTTTTCCAGCTATGTGACGGCAGATTGTAAATGATCGAATCTGAACCAGACAATCCAGTGATTGACATCATGAGCACCAATCCAAGAAATTGGGATACGATGACATGCATCAATGAAGTCTGCGAGCCTGACCACCTGATCCAATTCCTACCATGACATTGTTATCAGGGTCATGGTCAGTTGAGAGAAATGGCAATTAACTTGGCCTGCAACCTCTTAGGACCACTAGTAGTGTAAACGCAACAGAATTCACCAGGCCTAACCTTTTTCTTATCCTACATTGAACTTTTGATCTGGTCCCTTATTTGTTCAGATTTACCAGTACCGCACAGTATTTAATGATAACTCCCTACAGTATGTGCCTTGCAATATTGTTGTTCATGGAAAGCATTGATTAATTAAATCCTAGCAAATAAGGTACCAGTCAAATGTTCAAGTTTTCAAAAATACTCTATCCCCCCACAAACTGATTCTGAAATTGTTGAATGTTTTAATGCTCATAAACACACTGTCATGACCTCTCGGAAAGACTGGATGTATTTCATGACATTCTCCTGACAGTATGTGCCTGGCGAAAGTCATGGTTCATGGAAAGCATTGAATAACTCCTGTAATGACTCCACCAGTAATGAGTTTCCCAACTTACAGAGGTGTTGTGATTCCTCTTGGCAGTACCCTGTAACCTGGATCCTGCAGTTGTCCCACCGGCACGAGTAGTTCCGCGACCAGGCGTTGGACTGGCCACACCCGTTCTGTCGGTAGCCTTGGCACGCCGTACAACAGGGCTCTGGTGGGGAGTGGACTTGTCGGCCGATTCCCGCACTCTGGCGATGGAAGGGATGCCCGAGACAGGCCCTGTGGAGGGGCTGGAGGGGAGGGAATTCTGGGAGCCTGAAGGGCTGGGGTTAGGAGATGGGATCGGTGTTGACGAGCTTGAGTTGTTGACGTTATCATCTACACCACTGCAAAGCAATATTGTTGAACTTCATATTCATTCAGAACTCGAACTTATTTGTGATACTACTTTGAAAATCATATCATGACATGAAAAACTTTCCATGATCATTATTATGTAATTGTATTATTGTTTTCTTTGCCTACAACGCACAAGGAACATCATTGAGTTGCTACAGATAACGTAAAGTCATTTATTTTTGTACAATGAAACATAATTTAATGTTGTCGACAAGTATGAAGAAGGGAGACAATTCTTCATCCTTTTATTATCTCCCTTTACCTGTTTCAGCAAAGATTGGCAAGTAGCAACACACAGAACCAACATTTGAATATCTCTGAATATAAAGTCATCCCCCTTCAACACCACCACTCACTTGTAGTTGCTTACCTGTTTCAGCAAAGATTGGCAAGTAGCAACACACAGAACCAACATTTGAATATCTCTGAATATAAAGTCATCCCCCTTCAACACCACCACTCACTTGTAGTTGCTTACCTGTTTCAGCAAAGATTGGCAAGTAGCAACACACAGAACCAACATTTGAATATCTCTGAATACAAAGTCATCCCCCTTCAACACCACCACTCACTTGTAGTTGCTTACCGGTACCTGTTTCAGCAACGATTGGCAAATAACAACACACAGAACCAACATTTGAATATCTCTGAATACAAAGTCATCCCCCTTCAACACCACCACTCACTTGTAGTTGCTTACCTGTTTCAGCAACGATTGGCAAATAGCAACACACAGAACCAACATTTGAATATCTCTGAATACAAAGTCATCCCCCTTCAATACCACCACTCACTTGCGGTTGATGTAGTTGAGGTTGTCCACATGGGAGTTCTGGTTACCCTGGAGACGTCGGGCAGCGGTGTCTGATGTAGTACGGCGATACTGTGTGTTGTTATGTAGTTTCCTGTCCTCTTTAAAACTGGATGACGAACTTAGAGGCTGTTTCCTGCAACACAGGAAGTACACGCATGTACAAACTAAAATCTTAGCAATACAAACATTCCAATCAAAGTTTTCTCAAAAGAAATGTATGACTCCATATATGAATAGAGGTATTCATTTTAATTAAAGAGTAACATGTTCAAAGCCAAGTTCTTTAAATAGAAATGGTACATAAAACTTTGAAGAGGAAGCTACAATGACACTGGATATCAAAAGTGTAAGTAAGAATAATGATGAGAAACATTTAACTTTTATACTAAAAACATTGGTAGAGCTAACAGGAAAATCAAACGACCTTTGTTGCTTAAACCGAATGCCTCTAAAAATACCATGTAGGATATAGATAATAGAATTATATTCACTGATATTTATATGAAGTACGAAGGATGATACATGTATAAGGAAGATATATATAAGCATGCAAAGTGATGTTTTCTGTGCTGGGTTTTTTTTCAGTAATTTTTAACAAATTTGATGACTCCATACTTCAGAATTTCATTACTTGACAAGTAGAAATTTAAAACTTATCAAAAGGATCTGTCATGATCGCGCTGAATTAAGATGGCATTAGTCATTACTGAGGTACATCATCTGAAGTGAATTGAAATTCAGAAATATAATTTGGTTTGAATATAATTGCTTTAAAGTGGGGAAACATTGTTTCAGGAAGAATTGTTCTCACTAAATCTACAAATGTACAAATATATGATGCAGTAAAATGGAAAAAAACATTATTTCAGGAACAATTGTGCAAACTAAATCTACCATTGTACAAATGACCTGGTGTATGTAATTCATAGAAAAGCACCTGTTTGTGCCTAGATGAGAGACAGAGGTGGAACAGGACGTGTGCAGAATGTGATCACTTATACAGAGGACCAAGTATAATGGATAAAAAAAAACCTTAGATGTCTCAAAAAGGTGTGATGAGGGAAAGGGAAGACAGATATCCACATCCTATCAGGGTTCATCTTAATTTGAATGTTCATGGGATGATGTACTAACGCATGCAAGATGACCTACAGATTTCATGCAATACACTTTGTACAGTTCTTGATTTTATGTCTTAATCATGAATACATATATATAATATACACTAAATGTCTTGATAATAAGTGATACAAAGTAGCCTTCATTCCTGCAAAAAATGGCAATAATTCCAAAATATCTACAAACAGTGAAATTATCTGAAAACAAAGCAATGGCCCGACTCCATCATGATTTCCTTAGCAATGAATATATGATGCACACAAGCATAATTTATAAAGCAACAATACAGGAACTTGTTTTGAACCTGGTGGAACTTTACATTGCAAATCAGTTTTATAAGTTTTGAACACACTTGCATAAATCAAAAATAATTAGTTTTCAGCAAGGTAAACCATATTAAAAAAAGAGAATTTTTTTAAATAAGAAAATTTAGCATAATTTATTTCATTTTGCACACAAAATTTGTTGCCCGCAGCAGGCTGACCTTGACCCCAACAAGTACAAGTATCTAGACTACTTTCAAAAGCCATTAGATATTCATCCAGTTCTTGCTACATGCTCCTTTACCAAGAGGCTGTCAGGAATAAAACCAACTTAACCCTTTCAGCTGTAGTGTAACATCAGGACCATTTAATGAAAGGGTTAAATGTTTTACTCAAGACAATATTGTTTTCATTATGCTAAATTTCCCATTTTCCAGACTAGGCATGACTTGTAATACCAGTTGTATGAAAACATATATGAAGATATGATCATTTTCAAACATAATGCTCCTCTCATATTTGTATTAATAATATATTTGTTGATTATAATTGACTGTAGTTGGAACTGTAAACATGGTAAAATCCTTGTCCAAAAAATATGGAAAGATTGTTTTCTATCATAGCTTTATTTCAACTCAATGATAAAAAATATTGTTTCTTTCTAAAGCATTATTTGACCATTTGACTGGTGAGTGAGTTGTGTTTTCTGCCGCTGTATCAATTTTCCATCAATATCACAGTGGTGACACCAGACATGGGTTTCACATATTGTACCCATGTGGGAAACAGAGCGAAACATTAACAGCTAGGCTACGCACCCATCTGACTGGACCTTCAGGTATTAGTCTTTTCATTTATTATGTTTCATATGAAACACAATATATAGGCCAATCCAACCAAACTGTTCAAAGCTAAAAAAAAATTATCCGTTACTTTACGTTCCTTTATTTCTTCTGAAAGAATCCTATATATTTGGAATTATTTAACTCACAATGCTTCTATGTCATGAGAAGTGACAATTATGAAAAATTTCTGATAATAAAAAAGGAAATACTTATAAAATTACATGCCTATCTTTTTGTTACAGAAACCAATACATCTTCTCGAAATTCCTAGTCCTGTTCAGAATATTTGTTTGAAAAAGTACCAATACAGCCATAGACAAAATCAAAACAATATGAAAATACAAAGTGTTAAGTTGACAACAGCATGATTGTTATGACAAAGCACACACAGATACAAACTCAGAAAGCATGCTACACTAGACTGGCCGATGTGATACCACTGACCTATAGCCATAGTCTGAGATGTAGAAGCCATGGTCGTTATAGTCATAGCTACCGTAATCATACGTTCTACCATAGTAGTCTTCATGCAACGTGGCTGGGTAGCCGAAGCTGAAATAAAAAGGTGCATGCAATCTCAGGTTGAACACTGGTAGGCTGCAATGTTGCATTGGCAAGAAAGTCAGAAGAAGAAGGTGTTAGAGAGTGAGTGCTTGAATGCAGCAAGAGGGAAAGGAATCAGGTGCAACAGTAAATTCATCCGGGTTCATTTCCCTAAAGCGATCTTAGCTATAAGACTATCTCAACTCCAGTCCTGTTTGACACATCATGACATGACCATTTAAAGGCCATGTTAACAATGGGAGTCTCAAGCAGTTGTTGGGGAAACGTTGCGTTGTGGATCATGACTCAGAGCTGTAGACCATGATGCAATTGGAGTGATACAACTTAAAACTAGCTATAGGATACATAATCAGCTTAGTGGCTTGGCGCTAAGATCACTCAGTCTAAAAGGGCTCTGCATAAATATTCCATGACGCCTATTCTTTTAATCCCTACAATCTGTCTCCAATACATGAAGCTGACATTCCCAAGTATTTCTTATTGGGCAATTATAGACAAAGGCAACATTTTCACTGTCTCTTCTGTGTGTCCACTGACAGTATTACAAACCCTAAGTGGCGGTCTGCTTTACTGAGGTATCAAAGCCTATATTTGCAGGGTTAGAATTCAACACAAGCTTTACTAACCCAGGCTATTATTACCTTGTATTAGTTGTCACCTAATATTATACTTTAATGTTGAAATCCATTATCATCATATGTAAGAACTTCATAGCTGATAGATGTAGGCATTAGATACTGGTATGTTGTGGTTGGAACAACAAGATAGGGTTCTTTTTCTTAAAATTAAGAACAAGTAGAACATATTTTCATGGGTTTTCAGAAGCTTCACAAAATGACAATGGTTGCATGTCCAGAACTCATATAATTCCTATACAGAATATAAATCTCAGCTCTGTCCCTGTCTCATGTCACCAAACCAGACAATGATCAAACATCCTATTTTCAGAACTAAGTGCACAGTGCAGATTTCACACTAAAAGCAAGTACTGCAAAAAGCAAGTTATGTTTGCGTTAAGTGCATAGCTTCACAACCATATCTCACACAAGTAGCTGCAAGACAGATAGCATAATCTCCTTAGCATTTGAGCAACTCACCTATCACAAAATTGCAGCGAGACATCACGATTACTCCAAATCAAGACTATCTATCCATTCAGGAAAAACCTGCATGTACATCCGCTCATGCAATATCTCTGATATACTACGCCGTTAGTTTCTGCACATCTCCATGTGATTGGTCCAACCTTCCGCCCCGGGATAACTTGATGCCACATCACTACATAACAAACACCTGCCCAAATACCTGGTCCAAGAAAACGAGATCCAGTTCCTGGCTAAAAATATAACCCACTTTTACCAATTTCTTCCTGTCATTGTCATAACAAAACTAACCCAAACATCATAACCGCATCACAAAGAACATAGCCCATAAAACAAGCTTGGCATTACTTTAACAGGTGCTTGTTAACTTGAAAGACAGGAGGGCTGTGCTCACCCTCCCCTCCTTATCTTAGATACAGCCTACTGCGTGACTCATGCATCTAAACACAGCTCCTCATCAACAATGATGCTCCTGTAAATAGTCCATGTGACCCATCTTCTCCGTCTCAGGGAGCAGGTTATTTGCATCTTTCTGGGATGGTTTAGATGTTAAATAGTTCTTTCAAAACATAAGCAGATCCAACAGAATTCCGAGTTTCTAAGTACATATGCAATGAATTCTACTGCTTTCTGATTGATCAACTGCATTGCAATTTGTTGGTTTTAGTTTGTTTGTTTGCATTCAGTTATGAAATGTGACTGACATTATGTGACTGATAATGTTTGACTAGTTGAATTTGTGATTGAAACAGCACTTTGGCCTGATGAACAAATGATTAAGCCACTTGACAAAGACGTCATCATTATGACACTATTCAACTCATGTAACATTATCAAATATTAATTTTTCAATAAATTACTTATGTTGACAAGCAATTTTCCAAACTTAATTGTGGAACAGTGCAATTTTCAATACCTATACAAGAACCCTTTCCCCCTCCATTTAAACAAGCCAGGTAAATAAGTGACGTTTATATACAGAGTATTAATGTAGACTTTCCCTCTGTGCACTGTGGCTGCATGGAATGTGAGATTCTTAACACATCAGGGTAACATGCACTCCACAGAAGTACTTATACACAGGGACTACTAGTAGACCTCACACCAGCCTCCTGAGACTTCCCAGTATTTTGGAAGCTCATCTGATTCACAACAGGACTGCTTTCTGGAGACGACACTTTTGCCAAAGAAATCTGCATATTTGAAAGTCTTCTTGCTCTGTGCTATGAGTCATCTCCTTAACTTTCAGCTGTCTTACCGTTTTTATTCCTAAGTTGATTACATAAGCATGTCACAGCAACCTGGAGGCCTGACAGAGCCAGTTAACATGGACAGAAATACTGGTGAATATTGTTGTTGAAACTCCCTCTCTTTACGATGTAGGAGTTTATGTTTAGGCTGCTTGATTAGCATGGTTGGTGGGGTAGTAAAGTGTGTTGCTGTCAATCTGAGGACCTGGCTACCCTATTTGGTATAATGAATAATGGCGCTTTCCAGGACTGCCGAAGTAAACGCAGCGGCTTAGATGAGATGACTGGGCCACCCATATAAACATCGCTGTCATTTCTAATCAATTCTACAACCTTGATACCATAAATCCTTTTGTATCACAGAGTCTATTCCTTATCAGCATTGATACCGTACCCATGAGGTAAAATAGTTTCGTTTCTGCTTGTTGATCCTAGTGAAAGCTTAATATAGCTTGGGTGGTGCCGAGATCGTCAAATTAAATGCACATGAGGGAAAGTTATCAGAGGGTTATGGTAAGAACTGCCACACACCATGTTGTGATCGGTGTTTATAGGTTACTATCCATATCTATTCCTTCCTATTCGGCATCTATTCAAAAGTGCAGTACAATTTAGGACACATTTGGACATAACTAAATTTAATCATAAAAGACAAGGATAGGAAAACACCTCCTTGTCCAATCTGTACCAAAAATAATCCAAGATTGTGTTGGAACCATTATCAGAAGATACTAATATAACAGTATGGATTATCAGTTGCAGGGTGGTAAATCAAATACTTTTAATGACTATCACAAAAACTCAGTTTGTACTGAGTGAGACTGATTAACTCTTTCAACACCAGTCAACCAGAAGTGTTTTACTGCTGGGACACCGAGTTCCCAGAGACTCTTGTGTGATAGATGAAGCCAACATTTATCAAAGAAAATACCTACTTGTAAAATATATTTGCTGCTACATGTTATACACCATTTGAAAGGTCTGATCCTATGGTTTATAAATATGAAAGTTATGTTTTTCACATTATTTAAAATAATGCATTTACAACTTAATTAAATTTGTTGTAAATAAAAAATGTACGCTAACACGTTGTTAACATCCAGATTAAGGACCAAGGAAGCGAAAACTTGACGATTTTCGGCAAATATATGATTTCATAATATCCACGTACCTATTTCTGTTTTATTTTCATTGTTTACGTAATTGGAAAATCATTTCAAAAAGAATTATGAACAGTTTCTGTCATCACCCATTTCCCGATAACAGCGACTGTCCGCTCAGTAAAATGAAGAAATACCCCCGTTTTCGAGGTTTCGTATGAATAACACGTTCGTCGAAGAATGGCATATGACACATCGCTGGAAAGCTTATTCCTTCATCTACACGCACGTAACATCAACTGGTTTTTTTTCGTAGTTATAACAAGCGATTTCATTGGATTAAAATTGGTTTCTAATGACGCTTTCTTGCGGAAATCTGCTACAAGTTTCGTGATTGGTCAATTTTGAGCACGTGACCTCAGGCAGCCAATCAAATTACAGCTGTGATACCAAGCTCGTGTTCGATAAATTACAGAAGTTTGCGAAAGAATTTTGTTAAATTGTGTTATTCTGAACGTTTTGAGCAGGAAATCACGATATATATTAAAAATATGGAACTTCGTGAATGTATCGTGCTAGGTTACGAGCTGTGACAAAGATTTTTCATGCATATATTTTTGCATTAAACATCGTGTCCGAGCCGAGAATTCAAGGCGACGAAAGCCGAGATGTCATTTGACTTACATTACACGCGATCGCACGAAAAGATGGAAATAATAACTTAGATTACTTTAAGATATATATTTGTTTATTTTATTTATTACTTTGTATAATATATTTAAAGATTTGTTTAAAACGTCTTTATTTTCCTCTTTGACGTGTTCGATGTGGACCCGTTGTCGAAATTTTATTTTCAATAACATCGCGAGAAATAGTGAATAATTTTTTAATTTAACGATAAAAAATGTTAAATTGATATGGAATATGCATTTCAGACATTGTGAAATGTGATAGATTTACTAAATGAATGACATTACAGGTAGGTCCATAAAAATATATACTATTTTGACGTGACTACAGCTTGGCCGGATAACCGGCCTGCGGTGTCTGGGGACTCGATGCTTCTTGGCCGGATAACCGGCCTACGGTGTTGAAAGAGTTAATATAGTCAGTGACTTTACTGGACGGATATGAAATAATTTTCAGGTTAGGCAACTTTGTCATGTTAGATGGAGAAGCTTCATGTGTGCTAGACTTACACAAGCAGCCTGCCCAAGTGTGAGACACATGATCACAGGCAGTGTTTGAATTAAGGGGGTTAAGAGGGTCCTTGTGGTTTGCTCCTATACTATCTGAACCTAGGAACACCCAGATCTTTTAACTTTTAACAAAAAAAACTTGACTTTCATGCCTAATTTCTAACACTGACAGGCCTCAACAAACCTGCAATGTTTCATCATGACCAGCAGATTGTGGCACAGCTAAGGGAGGCAACTCACACAGAGAAATGGGATGCCTTACACCACTGACTCACTTCCAGCCCATATAGTAAAATAGACTGCAGCTATTCCCAGCAGTGTTAATCCTAGTACTGCCTTCAACAGATGTCCTTCTCATTGCTTTCCACCATACCTGACTCACAGAGATATTTCCACTCTGCCACCTCTGGCTTGAAACTTGGTATGTGGCACTGTAATTCTACCCAATAACCTTTCCAGACAAGTCAAGACTGAAAAGTACAATGTACCTGATCCTTTACTTCATCTGCATTGATGGATGCAGAAGATTAACACTGCTTAAGAAGTTCCACAGTTGATCAGTTTTTAAGACAAGCATAACACCTTGTTTGTTCTTTTACTTTCGTTCCTGTACATGATATTTTTTTTATTCATAAACATACCTATATTGACAAGATGCCATTAGATACAGATAGAGTAACACTACAACCCCTACAGATGCCATTCACATCTACTTCCACTACCTGACAGAGTTGCACCCCTTAGCTGTGTCTGGATCTACTTACTCTGAGCTCGAACTCCGATTCTCCCCATCTATCATCACTTTAGGCTTTCCTACCACATTAAACTGAGAAAAATAAATTTTGTTCAAAGTGTTGTTTAGTCTCATCTTCTCAGTTGAGACCTAAAGACAAGTGCTTAAACTTTCCATATTAAAAGTAAAACTCCTAGTTCCTTTTGAAAGTCATTCATATATCTTAACTATTTATCCAAATTATAAGCCCAATAATCATACACAACAACAACCTACACAAAAGAAAGACCGCCCCCTGTGTGTGGTCCTCACACCTCTGCCCTTCAGGGAGATAAGGTCAGCAGACATAGGCATTGTCTGAGATAAGGTCAGGTACTAGCTTCATATGTTGTGAAGGAATTCTCCACTGGGTGTGTCACTCGACCCCTTATTACCCCAGGACATGGAAACAGTCTTCCATGCAAGTAATCACACATTGTAGGACAACTCTACACATTAAATGTCTCCCACCAATACAACACTGTCAGCTAAGCCAACAGACACTGTATTGACAACAAAGTTTTTGCAATACACCAGATAACAGAAGATGACCTCATGGCATGGTATCTTGAGTTTACACAAACTTGTATGTCACTGACTTAGGTTAATGAGTGAGAGATAGTGAGTGAGTGAGCGAGTATGGTTTTACTTCACTGTCAGCAATATTTCACCAAAGGTTCCACATATTGCAACCATGTTGAGAATCAAACCAGTTCCTTCAGCATGACATGCGAACACTTTAACAGCGTGGCTACCCTAGCGCCTGCTTAAGATAGAGTAACCTGTCAGTTACTGTCTTAAGTCATTCAGGGTTTGGAGTGTCAAGATCATCGATGATACTGCATGTTTAACTGGTTCCATAAACCTAGAGATAGCCTTGCCAATGTTTTTGACAAACTTCAGTTCTTATGGCAAGCATTTAACAGCAGATACATGTTGAATTATATACTGTATATGACCGTAGATGAGCCGATCTCATAGAGGTATTAACTTGACCCTTGAAATATGTATGAACATGATATGCCCCCTACATAAGCCAGACCAGGAAGTGAAAGGTACTATGTTTGACTCAAACAACTGCAACGAATCAACAACCTCCAGTACAATAAGAGATCCATCAGCCCCTGCGGTGCTAACACTGTGAATACTTCAAGACATATTCCCTGAAACTGGGTGATGAAGATTTTCTTGATGTACAACGTCAATTCATATGTGATACCACTGCCGACAATCCCTTCAGAACGTGATGGAGAAAGAGCAAGACATTATACAGTACATTGTTTCCCCTATACCCAAGTGAAGCGAAGCACTGCGCAATGTCTACAAGAGCAATGCAAGATTTCTACACGTCTATGTGATAGCAGAAGCAACATGGCATTGTCTGGCATTGCTGAGATCATGTGGACCGCAGATCAAACAGTACTCAAAGTACACAGCATTTACAACAACCTGTCAACCCTCCACCTCGGCATAAACTCTCCTGTCACAACCTGCTGCCCCTCCACCAAAACATAGACTCATCAAGTGCACAAAATGTTTGTCTGATATACACAATCTCTATGCTGCACTAAATGCAGGTAATTTGGAAATAAAGAGTAACTGATAAAAATGTGGCAAAATAAAAATAATGGAAGGGGTGGAGAAAAAATCTGACCATAACAAAAAAGAATAGTTTCCGACTGAGAACATTGACTCATATGAATTACTATGCACCTAGCTTGATTCTGAGCTGATTCTGCATTTCAGACAGACACTACCCACTGATCATCTACCATAGTATACCTGGCAATGTTATCTACTGTATTCCGTCGCGAGGTCACTCTCGCCCTGATGAGAAACATGGCAACTTGAGTGACATGGCCAAGCAACAAAGAGAGACCATCATGCGACTGTCAGCTCAGAGAGGGTTAATGTGCTACATACAATTCTGTTAACCCCTTGAGTGTTTGGAAATTTCAAAATGTTTATTATCTTACAACTGTCTGTGTAACTGCCCCTCATGTCAGTTAGGTGTCACAATTCAAATACAAAGATTATTCAGGGGAAACAACTCATGTTGCTGGGCACTCGCCTCAATAATCATAAAATATTCACACTCTACATGGCCAAAAGAAATTATTGGAAACATTGCTTGGGCAAGCACATAATTCTGGAATGATTTGATAATGACAAATTCACTGCATAAATTAGTTAAAGTCAATTCTGCAAATTAGACATCTTCAAAAACTTATGATATCTTATCATTGCTGGGGTTAAAAAATCACTTTCATTTTTATTTCACATCCAACTATGTTATCCAAAGCTGACCACAGTTCAATGAAAGTTATCAGATCAAATGACAACTGGATAAATATACATGCACCATTTCAAACACTCAAGGGGTAGCAGTAGGTAACTGTCTGAAATAAATTCAGTTACAAGTGCATTTTGTTAGTAGGTTAATTGTTGAATTACTGTCAATAAAAAGAAAGTTCACATAAAATAATGACATATATTAGACATGGTACTGACATCACCTGTTTCAGTTCTGTCTTAATTCATTGTTAAGTGATTAATTGTCAGTGTCCCAACCAGGTCGTGGCAGAAGTGTCTTAGTGCAGACATAATGCTCAATATCTGAGGCATGTCACAGACATAAAGTTGACATACACAAAAATAAGAAGCATATATGATTTCAATGAGTTAATTTGACTTTATATATCTAAATCAGTTTACATTTCTTCAACATGATTCAAACTTGCAAACAGTGGATCCTGGCAACTTAGGGGACACAACTCTGCATAGTTGTTTCAGCGCTTAGGGCAACTGGGCTAACCATGCCCTTTAGGGTTTTGATCAGATTTTTCCACAAAGAGAATTTTCTTACACCTTCAACAAACCAAAAGTTGACCACTTGTATATTTCAATCAGCAATAAATTTACAAGGACTTTAAGCCATTGATTATACATTTAGATAAAGGCCTTGTAGTTTGTTGCATATTACCTCACTCAGCAGATTCCAGCTATATCATGTCTGTCTGTAAACAATCGAGTCTGGACCAGACAATGAAGCATCGATCTACGCAATAGGGAAACGATAAACATGCATTGGGGTCTGACACAAAGGTCACGAACTGAAATACTCGTGTATTTCGGATGGGTGATAACATGCTGACAGACCAATAAAAAGGAAACCAAAAGGATCCAAAACAGCTGATTTGGAATAGGCAGGGGGGCTTTCAAGATCACTTTTAACCCTATTCAGATGGGGTTGTTCTATGGCTAAGAAATTCAAAATACATAGCTTGCATGTATCATGTCTATATGCAGGTCTGTATGTATCATGTATCATATGGAAGGCCAAGTATCATGAACCATCAGAATTTTGGTGTATCATTTCACCCTCAGACACCAAGTGCTCGTCTGCCTGGATGAGACACTGACAGATGCAACAAGAATCAAACAACGGACGTCATCAGGGCCTTCATTTGTGCATGATGCAGCAGGCAAACATGGTTCTAGCTATTGCAACAGGTACATTCGGATGTCACATGGTAAAGAAACTATAGATAAACCTGTATAGACCTAACAACTATAGTCTGTTGGCATACCACACACCTAGCTATAGCAACAGGTACATTCGGATGTCACATGGTAAAGAAACTATAGATAAACCTGTATGGAACTAACAACTATAGTCTGTTGGCATACCACAACCTGTATAGACCTAACAACTATAGTCTGTTGGCATACCACACACCTAGCTATAGCAACAGGTACATTCGGATGTCACATGGTAAAGAAACTATAGATAAACCTGTATAGACCTAACAACTATAGTCTGTTGGCATAACCACACACCTAGCTATAGCAACAGGTACATTCGGATGTCACATGGTAAAGAAACTATAGATAAACCTGTATAGACCTAACAACTATAGTCTGTTGGCATACCACACACCTAGCTATAGCAACAGGTACATTCGGATGTCACATGGTAAAGAAACTATAGATAAACCTGTATAGACCTAACAACTATAGTCTGTTGGCATACCACACACCTAGCTATAGCAACAGGTACATTCGGATGTCACATGGTAAAGAAACTATAGATAAACCTGTATAGACCTAACAACTATAGTCTGTTGGCATACCACACACCTAGCTATAGCAACAGGTACATTCGGATGTCACATGGTAAAGAAACTATAGATAAACCTGTATAGACCTAACAACTATAGTCTGTTGGCATACCACACACCTAGCTATAGCAACAGGTACATTCGGATGTCACATGTTAAAGAAACTATAGATAAACCTGTATAGACCTAACAACTATAGTCTGTTGGCGTAACTACACACCTAGCTATAGTAAAAGGTACATTCGGATGTCACATGTTAAAGAAAGTAAAGATACCTGTATAGAACTAACAACTATAGTCTGTTGGCGTAACCACACACCTAGCTATAGTAAAATGTACATTCAGATGTCACATGGTAAAGAAACTATAGATAAACCTGTATAGACCTAACAACTATAGTCTGTTGGCGTAACCACACACCAGACACCATGACAAGATCGTCAAAAAGTCAGAGTTTAGTTTTACACTATTTTCGGCAATACGCTTGCATGCCGTGGTGGGGAACACTTAGAATGGCCTCCACCCCTTGTGTACAGTCAGAAGGGCTTCACACTGCTTGTGGCTATATTCCAGCCATGTCAGGTAGACACAAGACATGGATTTGTACCCATGGGGGAATCAAACTCAGATCCTCGCCAGCATTGTACACAAGTGGGATCTGAACCCGGACCTTCAGGGTGACATGACAATGCTTTGCCCATTAGGCTAACCCAAGGTCCCCTCAAAAGGAATTAATATAATGCATATATAGAGAGAAATATTTTATATATTGTCGAAAGATCTTATCATGGTGTCCAGAGTGGGCATATTCTTCTGTGCACAGAGCAGAATCCAGCAGGAAATCAAAGCCAAAGCATAGCATCTCTATGTCTGGTACATAATTCATGTGTTAACTTTGAATTCCATTTATCCTGAGGCTACTTTTGAATGGAGTGTCATCATGGTCCAGTGGCAGGTCACGGTTTGTCTTTAATTTCTTTACCATATAGCGTTAGTCCACTTGCGCAAAGTGATCACAGTGCTATGACAACTGTAACTCTCATTCCTTGAATCAGACTGACAAATGTCATAGTGATACGATCGGCTTAGGCAAGTGGGCCCTGCAATCTCGGACTCATAAGAACCTTCGTCAGTCTTATCAACCAAATTCTCCCCGAACCAAACAATAAACACTTCCATACAATACATACTTGCTCTCTCCTTTAACTCTTCGAACACCTTCTGGCTTCCGCTGTTCTGCTTGCCGACTTTCCTCCCTCCGATGCTGCTCTTCCCTCAATCGAGTCTCCTCCTTCAACCTCTCTTCTTCCTGTCTGAGAGCTTCTTCCTGGGCACGTGCTTCTTCCACAAGACGTGCTTCTTCTCTCTGTTGTTCTCGTTGTCTTTCTATCACTGCCCTCTGTTCTTCCTGTACTTTGATTGCCGCCCGCCTTCGCTCCTCCTTCTCATCATTTTTCACCTCTTCTTCCTCCTGTTGACGCCGAATTTGTTCTGCAACTTTTTTCCGCCGTTCATAATCTGCTTTCTGTCTGATCAGTTCCTGAAAGCAGAAAACATCTCTGGTGTAATTTGCGACACACTAATCATTAATCAAGATGTGAATTTATCCATTTCATAACAAATCGTACACCGCTATTCCTATGAATACTCACAAATTAGAATAAGAAATTCAAACAGCAACATTTCAGAGTAATCTGTACAAAAAAGTTTAAATGGCAAAAGCCTCCTTACAATTAGTAGTAACATTACACTTTCATTTTGAAGTATATTTAATTGAGAAGATATTTAAAAACACATATTTATTAAAACCTGTGCCATCCAGAACAGTATTTTATATCTAACAATTTGCACTATCAAAGTGTATTTTGATTTGAATGACAAATAATGTTATCTTCTCATTGTTACATTAGATTTTTAAAAACAATTGTTTTATCATGCCTTGTCAGTGAAGCTTGAAGCTGATGCCTTGCTGATGTAGTGCCTTAAGCCATAACATGTACATACCACCTGGAGCAAGACCTCAAGTGATTTCAACAGCAATATTGTTTAGTTGAACATTGAAACTTTCAAACAAGGAAGTGGCAGAATATTTAGCTGTTGCCAACTTTTAATTTTGACATTGCCCTCATCGTCAGCAGTCCAACCATTCCCATCTAACATAATGTATCCAAACCCTGGACCTGATCTGGCTACAGAAAAAGGCCACACATTCTGAAACCTGACAGTTTGTAACATGGATGTGACCATGAGATTGTTTGAATATTGTACTATTGAACAACAAGTAAACCAGAAAATGTTTAGATTTCATTCCAAATTATGAGATCATTTCATTTCATACTACTTGTCAGAAAACTAGTCATATTTTCGAGGTGTTTTTGAATTAATCATGTCTGAAGTTGTACCACCAGTAAGAAACACAAAAAACTTACATATCTACTAATGGCAAAATTTGAAATGTTTGGGATTTTTTACAGAGAAATCTTTGCATTCTCTTTAAATCTAGTAACTCTCAATGTAAGATAGATTTAGTTTACTATTATCATATGGTATTTATTGAAATTGATTAACTTTTACAACACAAATAACCACAGTAATTGTATCATGATCCAAAATACTTCCTTGTTTACAAAAAGGAGATTTCTTGTTTCCTACGACAATCTAGCAAAAAAATGTGGCCAATGTTCGCTTAGCACCCATAACGTTTTAAGAATGTCTTAAAATTCAGTACAATATTTCTTCTGACATTTTTTTCACAACAACTAATCATGTTGGTCAACTTCAGTCAAATAAGAAAGACCACAGAAGCTGAAAACACTTGGTTGGAACTTTTGGTTTCAAAACATAATAATTATTATTTTGAAAAATTTATACTAAAACCATAACATGAAGCATGAGAGGCATGTGCATATAAAAGAAAGAATGACAAACTTAATCATGATTCCAGTTTATCAAAAGCATGTTATTTCAGATCTTCATATCCAAAGAAACTATCCACCTTTTCAAGAAACAAGAAATGTGCTTTACTTAGCATTGTTTGTTCATTATTTTGATTAAGTGCAATTGAAAAAAAGCATTGTTAATGTACATGATAAATGTATAGTGCAAAGTGACAACTAATATTCAAAGTCTACTACAATATCGCTGCAAACATTCAAAGCAACTAAAGAGGCTACCTACTAGAAGCAAGAAATTAAAAAGCAGAAAAAAAAATCCCAAAATTCTTGATTGCTGTCAAACATCACATGAACACGATTCAAGGACAACTTTATTATTAGTCAGTGTTACAAAACAAAATTTGTTGGTAATATGCGAATAAGTTTTCCTGATTTGTTGTCTGTTTAGTAGTATCAATAAACAGCATTACAATAGTCATCTGTAAACATATATCAGTTAATGCAATGTTGAGTTTAGTTTGGTGAGTTAATGTTCATGGGCTTTGGTATTAGTGGCACATCTAGTTAGCTACAACAGTGAATCAGGAGAATCACATCCTCAACACCAGGTGTCATGCAATCAAATCGAACTCAATATCCAGGTTCCCATGCTGACAATACCACCTGACAAGTACCTAATACCATCAGACAAGTACCCTATACCATCAGACAAGTACCCTATACCACCTGGCAAGTACTCTATACCATTAGACATGTACAGTAGCATACCATCAGACAAGTACCCCTAACATCTGGCAAGTACCCAAAACCATCAGACAAGTACCCCTACCATCTGACAAATAGACAATACCATCTGGCAAGTACAGTAGTATACCATCAGACAAGTACCCAATACCATCAGACAAGTACCCAATACCACCTGGCAAGTACTCCATACCATTAGACATGTACAGTAGTATACAATCTGGCAAGTACACCTACCATCTGGCAAGTACCCAATACCACCTGGCAAGTATCCAATACCATCTGACAAGTACTCCTACCATCTGACAAATACCCAATACCATCTGACAAGTACCCAATACCATCTGACAAATATCCCTACCATCTGGCAAGTACCCAATACCATCTGACAAATATCCCTACCATCTGGCAAGTACCCAATACCATCTGACAAGTACACCTACTATCTGGCAAGTACCAAATACCATCTGACAAATACCCAATACCATCTGACAAGTACTCCTACCATCTGACAAGTACCCAATACCATCTGACAAATATCCCTACCATCTGGCAAGTACCCAATACCATCTGACAAGTACACCTACTATCTGGCAAGTACCAAATACCATCTGACAAATACCCAATACCATCTGACAAGTACCCCTACCATCTGGCAAGTACCCAATACCATCTGACAAGTACACCTACCACCTGGCAAGTACCCAATAAAATCTGACAAATACCCAATACCATCTGACAAGTACACCTACCACCTGGCAAGTACCCAATAAAATCTGACAAATACCCAATACCATCTGACAAATATCCCTACCATCTGGCAAGTACCCAATACCATCTGACAAGTACCCCAAACACCTGACAAGTAACAAGGTTGTTGCTTTTCTTACAAAATCCTTATTGATGACTGCATTTTCAGTTCAAGAATTAAAAATCAACATTTTCATACCAAGAACTTGATCCTATTTTACACATACAATGGACTGTAACAATTAAAAACGACGAATGCTGATAAAGAGACACCTCGTTAACTTGGACACTCCCCTTTAGGGGAATACTGCTGGGTGTGTCTATATAGGAATAGGACATTAAGACACACAAATAATTCCTTAATCTGGAAATTTGTTACACTCATTATTCATATCACATCTGTGTACGAAAACAATAGACCTGTCAATGACTTTTTGTCAGATGGTCCGGTTTTCTGTCATGTTGGTAAAAAGTGGGATTTCTTCACTTCACTTTGTCACTCCCACCATTCAAAGTACCTCCTTTTTATACATTTGATATATCTTGAATTACCCTCCGATCGCTGGGGCCTGTGACAGGTCTGAACTCTTGTCAAGCTTACAATTACCATCTTGAATGAATGCACACCTGGAAGTACTTCTCCTATAGTCGTACCTACCTCTGCTTATATTACACTTGCTACACCAGAGTTCGGTAACACTATTAACCTTGCTCCCTACCCTACACTTTTTCAAGATGGAAGTAAAAAAATAATCCCTGGCCACTTCCCCCTACTGCTCTTGATCAGATAGATGAATGAACATAGATGAATTTGCAAACTTAACATGAATATAGACCTTTCCCAAATCAAGGGACTACAACACACCAACAACACACAAAATAAAGTTATTTTCTTTGGCCTTACTAAATCACCCCCAGAATCGCCTTCTTAACCCAAAACTTCAATGTTACATGATGCAGTTAATTGTAAACATTGGGACTGAAATATTGCATCTGACTCACAACTTCCTTCACATGATTAAATTTATTTGAATCATAAATTTCCCCCAAACCAGCTCTGACCAGAGATGATACACACTTCTGTGTGTCAGAAACAAACAGGTATAGCAACCCCTCGCTATCATGTGAATCAGAGATTGTGTGCAATTCAAAGTTGTTCTAGTGCTTGAGAAGGTGCACAATGTCACGTCAGATAGGGAAATTGAAGTCAAACAATGTTATGACATGAATACCAATGGGATGGGATACACTCTGTCACCCCTATGAATAATACATTCAGGTGGATCATTTTTCACAATCTTTAAGTTATCCATTGTGGATACCTTAATAAATAACAAAATCTGCTTTTGACAAACTGATTTTCAAGCATCTTGAAATCTGCTTCAAGTGGATTTCGGTAGATACATCATCCACCCCATAACAAACCTTTTCACATAATTATAAGGATGATGGTTTGTTTAACTTATAGGGTGCTCTTACTGAATTGTACAACCAAGTCCTACCTTATCACAAAACAGAATGAAAAAAAGGAACAATATTATCATAATATTCCTCAAGCACCATAACATACTTGCTCTTTGATAAGGTATCATGCTGTGGTGTTACAAATAGAACTTAGACAGCATACATGAAAATAATGTCATTAATGTGAATACCCATACAAAATTATATATTTTAAAACCTAATTTTACATGTCTTTACATAAACAAAATACAAATTAAACGAAAATAAGTGTTGTAAGTAAATTGATGGATGAGTGAGTGAGTGAGTATGGTTTTACGCCGCTTTTAGCATTATTATTAGCAATATCACGGCGGCGGACACCAGAAATGGGCTTCACACATTGTACCCATGTCGGGAATCGAACCCGGGTCTTCGGCGTGACGAGCGAACGCTTTAACCACTAGGCTACCCGACCGCCCCTAAATTGATGGATGAAACCCTACATGACTGAGATGTAGCTGTAGAGAATGACATCACAGTAAGTGAACCATGGTTCCCCTTCCACAAAACGATCTTAGCGCTCAAGTAGGGAGTTACGATCACCTTTGTGCTACGATGATAGTAGCCTATGTTTAAGTAGAGAGTTACAATCACCTTAGCACTGACGATCGTAAGCTTATGTTCAAGTAGGGGGTTACAATCACCTTAGCACTACAATGATCGTAAGCTTATGTTGAAGTAGCAGCATTAGAAACTGGCATTAGTCCTATAGTCCTTGCCAAACTGCCCAATAGTTAAGGTATCATAAGGACTAGTAGAAATTTGCAATTTTTAAGGGGTTTGGCTATATAATATCATTATAAGGACTAGTGGACTATAAATGTAAGTTTCTACCACTGAGTAGGGGATTACAATCACTTTCCTAAGCCGATGTTTAAGTAGGGAGCGCTAAGATCGCCTTGTGTAACGAGACCAAGACACTTAACCCCTATGCAGTGCTGCGATCGTGGCATTAGGTGAATTAGAGGAGTATATTGCTATACATAAACTGATGCTGTAGATATTGTAGTTGTAATGATCCTTCGATCGTTATACTGATGTTAAGCGTGGTGCAATTAGCCAGGAGGCTGAGAGAGAGGGGAGAGAGTAAAGGAAGTGTAGCCAAGTTAGGAGGTAAGCCAATCAGTCCAATCCATCTTGACACATCTATCTTTCCAACTATATTCGTAACTATGGGAACTAACCCTGGTAAACTCATCTTCCAGGGCCGTCGACGAAAGGGGCGGGGGAACTGGGAGGATCATGCTCTGACTGTCGGAGTCGGAGCCTGGCGAGAGGTGGGGAGGGGGTGGGGGGAGGTCGAGGGCCTCCGTGTGTTCTATGGTTGGTTTACGATAAGCTTCTTGGGTGAATCTTCGCTGGAGGTCCATTTCTCGTCCGTGCCTCTGTTCCTTGACAGCCTCCCCGGCCTTAAGGGCAAGAGAATTGGCTTCATCGATGTCTATTGGAACCTGTACAGAGGCGCAGGGAGAAACCAACATGCTCACATTAAACAAAATGGTCAAAGACAAACGGAAGCAACTACAGCAAAAAGACCCTCAAAAGTACCAACTTTGTATCCTTTCAACAAAAATAGTAAATTCAGCACAGGCACTGTTTCATCAATAAATGTCAACCAAATCAGCCTTGACCAGAGATGATAAACACTTCTGAGTGTCAGAAACAAACAGGTTATAGTAAACCTTCACTTCATCTGAGAACCCAAAACAACCTTCAAGTCCCAATTTAGTTATCTTTTATTTGTTATCCTGAAAAGATACAAATGCTGGTAGTTCCTCAGGGAACATTAACAAAGAACAGTGCTTAGGAGCATACTACAATAATATATCATGCATCTATACAGAGTCACCTATGTACTAAGATACAATATTTATAATGAGAGGCTTAAAATGTACCAAAGGCATCTTCCAAAGATACTTTAAACGTAAAATTCCTTAAAGACATATCAGAATAAGATACAATATTATTTCAATTGCACAGGACAGATTTTTTTTACCAGATTTCACTTTAAAAACAATCATTTAAGTAGCTTTAGTAATCAAAGCAAACCAAAATAAAATTCAATTTCCATTCCATTATTTTCAGCATTTGGGAAAATGAAAATAGAAACAATTTGAAAAAGTTAGTTTGACTGGTAATATATAAGTTGGCAGTCTGTGCCTGGATTCTAGCCTGAAGTCCAGTCAAGTACCGGTAATATTTTCTGCCAGGCAAATTAACATTGCAGTTGAAGGCCAACTGCCTTTGTAGAAATTTTTCAGTACATGATCTCAAATTACAACTTGGTAATGACTGCATTGTGAGGGTCGCTGAGTTTGGCACAGACTAAGATGAGGAATTCAGCGAAATAATGTGTGCAAGAATGGACATGGATTGTTAAGAACATTCAAGGGTTAGTGCTATTAATACCACAAAGACAATGGAAGATGCATTTGGTTACAGCAAACAAATCAAAATCAAACAAATAAACAACACTATAAATTCTGTCATTATCAATAAGAAGATTTAGTAATTGAAGAAATATCAAAATTTAATTCAAATTGTAATGTCATACACAACACTCGAATTGGGGTGAAGCGGTGAAGTTAGGTAATAAAATTGAAATATCACACCCAAAAGAAGTGTAGCAAAGATTTAATGTAAGGGAGGCAACTCAAACTTCCAGATTGACAAAGCCCTATAAGATTTGTATCACATTTATTTGGATATTCTCATTATCCTACTCATATTTGCCAAAGAGACAGGAATAGAGTATCATGCCAGCATAGTACATCTTGAAGTAGGGACAGTTATCTACAGGATATATGGACGCGTATACAGAGAGGTGGCAGCATGGATGGGGGAAGCTCCCATCTTATCTTCATGCCTCTAAAATAGTCATATGCCACAGAGAAAGAAGAGATTTGGAAAATATTGGGCTATTTTCAGCAGGTCTAGCAGAGATCATGGGAAAAAAACAATTTAATCATAAAACCTGCAGCTTTATAATCTTTGAGTGGAGTGTTCACATAGAAAATAATTGCAGATCTTATTGCTTCAAAAAACATTTTCTTTAATAACTGGCATATTTCAACAAATTTAGAAAATCACAGACTTCTTAAAATCTTGGTTAACAACAAAAACATCTAAAAGCAGTTCTTAGGACACATGCATATGTAAATATTCAAATAGTGCAGAAATGAGAAAAGGCGGCATCATTTCTCACTCCTCCACTGGGCAACAATGTGAGCCAATCAGCTGACCATGATGCCATATATGGCAGTCACATGACCTACCTCTGAGGGTGACCACCCACACTTTTCCAGACTATCCGTGGTGCTGTAGCCAGAGTCAGCGCTGAGGACTGTGTGCCTCTTCCACCGAGACTCAGGACTTTCCAGCAACATATTGCGAAGTTCATCTGATGTTCTGGAGTTAAAAAAGTCAGTTTTAAATTTTATAGTGGCAGTAGTTGAATCGTACATACCAAACACCAAAGATACATGACATGCAAGATTCATATCGAATAAGCTGATGGGATAATAGTAGCTTGATTAGTGTTAGAAGTCCAACTCGTACATATCAAGTGTTTGTTTGATGTTTCATGTCACACTCAGTAATATTCCACTTCAATGATAGCCACAATGAAACAAATACCAGGTAAAACAGAAATCTGACAGGTGTTATATCATTTCAAGATGTGAGTTTTGATCCAAATTTAATCCAGCGCCATCAAATCTACAGGTAGCATAGCTCTTACTGTTGAGGTGGCAATGACTTCCTGGCAAGTTTCTTCATATCCATGTCATTAAGGATTCCTCGTTTCCGGTCTTCCTTAATTGCTTCGATCTGTAAAAACTTCATGATGTGCTGTCGGCCTCTCGTACAGATCTGGAGGATACGGTCATAGTTACACATGTGATACAAGTCATATTAACCATATAACTCCTACAATGTTAACCAGCAGTGAGCAGGTGACATAGCATAATGTGCTGTCGGCCTCTCGTACAGATCTGGAGGATACAGTCATAGTTACACATGTGATACAAGTCATATTAACCATACAACTCCTACAATGTTAACCAGCAGTGAGCAGGTGACATAGCATAATGTGCTGTCGGCCTCTCGTACAGATCTGGAGGATACAGTCATAGTTACACATGTGATACAAGTCATATTAACCATACAACTCCTACAATGTTAACCAGCAGTGAGCAGGTGACACAGCATACAATGCTACACAAAAAGATTCCATACAATTCCCCAAAGTGTCAGCCTCTCATTTGGTGTGATAACCGATAGAAACATGAGATATTTATGCCAACATGGTACATTTGAATACCCCTCGAGAACCTATATCACCCAACTGTTTCTTAACACATCTCATCATGATATTGTTGTGTGTGAAAGACTGATTGCAATCTCAGACCATCCTGCAATATGTGAGCAAGATGGGTTTAATGCAGTCTTATAATAGTAGACAGTAGGGCTGCAACGAATACACTATGTGGCAATTATGATTCGTATCACGAATATAGGGTAACGAATACGATTACATACACAACCAGCCTGGGCAGTGAACTCCCGGGTTAAGAACATATGTACATCCTATAAGTCTACAAAGTCTACAAAGTGGCAATACTTACATGTGCGGGAGGTAGGGACAAGGGATTATGGTCCAGGACCATTTCTTCTAAGGATTCTATTTTCCGAAAGACTGTGGGAATTTTATCTATTCTGTTACTCGAAAAGTCTAACTTCCTGAGGTTTAATTTACAAATTTCTGAAAAGAAAAGAAAAGAAAAGTCAACATGACAATAGTGAGTATTTACTATGTGAGTAAATAAATAGTTTTTGCTTTCATATCAACAAACAGTACATGTTCTTTATAACAACCTTATTACTTCTGTTTTCTTACAATGAAACACTGTATCAGAGAGAAAAAAGTATTTAATATCAAAACGCATGAAACATTCTATCTACATTTTCAAACCATTCATTAAATCTAAAATCTATCGGGCAACAACACACTGATCACTAATGTGAAATGAACTGAACATTTTCATATACAAACAATGTTTACACTTTGAGAAGTAATATCTGCAAAATACACAAAATATAAGCCACTGAATAAGTTGATTGATCAGTTGAAACCATTACCCAAGAAATGATGAAGCCCCGGGGCCATTCAACCACAAGTCACAGTGAAGGAAATCATGCTACTGCAAGGTAATGAAGCTCACCTGGAGGCAGCTCAACGAGCAAGTTTCTGCGAACATTGAGACACCTGAGAGAACCGAGGTCACCTATCTGGCCCGGGAGATGCGAGATCTCATTGCAACTCACGTCCTGCAACAAACAAGATACATCACAGTCAATTTTCTAAATGAGGAATAGCCCTTCGACCGTGGCAAGTAAAACATGTGAAAGGGCTGGTCAAAAACAGAAGGTCATGAGCTGTAGAATAGTTTTAATGTTCCAAGTGACAAAGAGTTTCGGGGTTCATTTCCTACCTGCTGTGACCTTGAAAATGGGGTCAAGGTCACCAAATCTGACAGGTGTATGCGGTGTCTGTATATACACTATAGTTCCAAATATGAAGACAATCCAGCGATTAGTTCTTGAGATATCGCGGCAACACCGTTTTCCAACTCCAAAAGCAGATTTGCCTGCTGTGACCTTGAAAATGGGGTCAAGGTCACCAAAACCGACTGGTGTCTGCGGTGTCTGTATATACACCATAGTTCCAAATATGAAGACAATCCAGTGTTTAGTTCTTGAGATATCGCGGCAACACCGTTTTCCAACTCTAAAAGCAGATTTGTCTGCTGTGACCTTGAAAATGGGATCAAGGTCACCAAAACCGACTGGTGTCTGCGGAGTCTGTATATACACCATAGTTCCAAATATGAAGACAACCCAGTGTTTAGTTCTTGAGATATCGCGGCAACACCGTTTTCCAACTCTAAAAGCAGATTTGTCTGCTGTGACCTTGAAAATGGGATCAAGGTCACCAAAACCGACTGGTGTCTGCGGAGTCTGTATATACACCATAGTTCCAAATATGAAGACAATCCAGTGTTTAGTTCTTGAGATATCGCGGCAACAAACAGGTGGGACGTACGGACGGACGGACGGACGGACGGACGTACGGTCGTGAATACTATATCCCAAGATAATATATCTCAAGATAACAAGCCAACACCTCTGAGGAATAAAAGTCACCATTTAAAATAAAAGGCTTGATTTCTGTGGCAGAGCCTGTTTACTTACCAAGTCCATGAGCTTTTCTAACTTTCCTATTTCTTCTGGCAATGAGACAAGTTTGTTGTTACTGGCTAGTAAAACCTCCAGCGCTTGAAGATGACATAACGTCGGTGGCAAGACAGACAACTGGTTTCGACTAAAACAGAAAATTAATGAAAAATCTGTACTCGAAATATTCCCAAACACTCTGCAACAGAATATCTGATTTTGATCGAATACTGCATGAAATTACACATTTGTAGTAAATCATATAAACAAGTTACATGTAAGTTTGCCCTATGTTCTTAAAGTATTATCACAATTAATAGATTCAGCATAGTTTTGAATCAATGTTATTATTTGCTAAATCTTGACAAAATGTACATTAAATAAAAATATCTGAGGTCAATATGTTAGAATTTGTAATCTTCAGGCAGTGTAGTCAGAGTTGCTTCCCTTGGACCTGATTGCCCATAGATGCTACTTTCCTCTCCACTTATCACAGTCACTACTAATTCCAGTAGCATTCAGCTGAACTGCTACATGTTTGGTTGAATAGTAGTCCCAAGAGGATTATTACTCTTGCCATTTGTCCTGAAGCATTATCAGCACTGATGAATCTCACATAATTGATACGATCTAATGGTTCAAATTTTACAGAGACATCAAGATAATTTATCAGTTAGCCTCAGATTGCACTGAAACCTTTCTCACATATTTACATTCACAAACTGATATTTTCCTATATCTACAACACTCAGTTCACTCCACATTCCAGTTTAGCCTGAGTGGCAGAACAGGCGGGAAGTAGGTTAATTTTCTTCTTTTCCTTGTTAAGACTATCAGTAGCATATCTTCTGCACGAAAATGATAACATCTGATCTAGTTTTCCATGAATCACCACCATACTGGGGTGCTGTTTTCCCAATAACCACTCTTGTGGGTGTTGTGTTGATAACAACCACTCTTGCAGGTGCTTGTCAACGGAACCTTGTAGTCAAGGAAACCTCCTTTACATGGAACTCTGTGACCTTGTCCTTTGTTTTCGTGTCTTTGAATCACCGAGTGATTTTCTTCTGATGCAACTCAACTTATCCCCATGAATCAGTCACACTTGCACAAAAACAACTTACCTGTTCCACTCCTTACTCTTGGAACATTCACAAAGCTACGTTAAGTCCTTTGCTGATAACATCATGGTAAATGTATGTTTGGTTACCCATTATTTTCTTTTGTAAACAATATTACAAATAACAAGTTTCTCAAAAACAAACAAATAGCTTCACTTGTTGCCTACCTAGAAAATGAAAAGTTTCCTGTATTTGGTCTTATCACAGACTGAACAAGAAAGGTTAAGGATCAGGAATATTTTTGGTGGTGACGACACACAATGAGCACACAATTTCATAAAAAAATATCCCCAAAATTTTCATGACAACATTGTCGTCATTGGTTATCAGCAAAGGGGTTAACCAGCTCACCTGAGGTTTAAATGAGTTAGTGCTTGAAGCTGCACTATAGCTTCAGGTATGACTTTGATCACATTGTGGTAGCAGTTCAATCTCTCCATAGAATGATATTCACATATTTCAAGAGGCACATCTCCCAGACGATTCTTGGATAAATCTGAAACAAGAGGCGAGATAATTATGTCAAGAACACCATTTCTGTACACATCAATAAATACCCACTGTTACACACAAAATAAACATTGATAATAGGATAGATATGCATATATACTACCCAACTTTTGATAGGAATATAAGGAAATGTCAGGGTGCTGTTGTACAAACCAACCTTAGCCCTACGACTGTCGTAGAGACTATGTTAAGCCATAAGGTATGGGAGTTCCGATGGTCACCTTAGAGCTAAGATCGCTTTGTACAATGGCACAAAGGTCTATTCAAATATACACTTCACATGTATTATCATGATTATGAGAATCAGTGTATCATGTCAAGATAAAAATATCCCTCAGTAGGAACAATATATGTTCTAAAAGCCATGTTTTCATTGTTCTTGCCATAGGGTGTGAAGGTATGTTGAACACCTTTTTGACAACCATACTGCACTATCAGAAATATACATTTTGCATCCATGGCAAATTTAATCTGGTCATGGTTGCAGTGGAGTAGCCTGGCAACAGCTCACATTTCTCACCATTACTTAACTTGTGATGTTTCTTAAGAAGTTGTGTACATAAGTTTTGTTTGTTTATGTATGGAAAGGTTAACATAAATTCCATGTCAGTCATAACACACTTGAATCAATGCCTCCAGTCTGTTTGTTCAGTATCAAGCACCACCACTTCCAGGCTGACTCCTAACAGGTTGATGGACTAACCTACAGCATGGCTGATTGAGCTGACAGCAACAGCCACCTGACTTATTATCTACAAGTCCACAGTTGTGCTATCGTGAAACGTGATTGACCACTTGGGCCCACATGAAGACAGCTCCAAGCAAGGCTATTTATCAAGCTGCTACCATTACCTAATGAGGGGCTATCAGTTTTTACCGACTAGCTGATATCAAATCCCAATGGGTGTTGGATACGATATGGTATTCACTGTTAGATATAAGAAATTGGATGATTGACAGCTATTGGACATGATTGATATCAGAAAGAAGCAGGTGTCTTGTTATACTGCAATAAACACTGATATATGTGGTAGTTATGACTGACAGGGGAATATCCCATCCAAAACGCAAGAGTAGGGAAAGTGTTATACTGGTATTTATGACCCATAGCGTAAGAAATAACCGAGTTCACAAAAATCATATGTGCACTAGTGCAAATATCACTTCACAGGCACCAGTGTATTGTTGAAGTTATCCGGGCGGCATTGTTGATGTCAAATGAATCTTATTGTGATGTAAGGTTAGAATAGTGTTACACTAGAAACGTCATAGCTGTAGATTGATGACGTCATTCGACAATTGCATTTTTCTAAGATGGTGGTCGTGATCAGTGCATTTTTCAAAAGGGGAGCTTAAAAGGATTAGGAAATAATGGGTAATAAAGATATTATTACAATTCCATGGGTGTCATACTGATTTTACTAAACTTGTGTGACAATTCATTCTCACTCGGCAAATAAAAGAATTCTGACACTTGTTTCGTATCAGTATGACACACATCCTTGTATAATAATCACTATGTATGACTTATGCTGGGGAAACTGATCCTACTGACAGAAGCCAATCAAATATGCTTTATTCGCAGACCATAAAAATAGGTTTAACAGATCAATTTCAGCGTAGAACTATGAAGTGTTCACATTACAAGACTGTATTTGAACCTTCAGAGACCATAACAAAGAATCCATTGTACACTTTATACACTAGCCACTGTTAATCATTGTGATGAGGAAATATGTTTCTGTGCGTGCAATGTAAACATTATGAAAAATATGACCCACACAATACATGAAGCAAATGAATATGGCTATAAGGCAGTCATTAAATGTGATTTATATATATAATTTTTAAAACTATCAAAGACTATTCCGTTACCAAGATGTAAATTTAACCTTTGCTAACCTTAAGCTTCAAGGGCCAAGCTTATCACTATAGATGATTTAGTTTTCAAGTGGGTAGAGAGACTAGTGCACACACAAAGCACACACCCAAAATCTAAAAACATTCTTTCTGCCCACAAAGCATTAATTTTTACATCAAGCATACCCCGTTATAACTAACTTAAGGTAGCTTATTGTACTGAATACGGTAATGCAAGATCTTAATTTCTGACCTGACCAATACAAGAATTCAGAACTATTTTCCCCTGTACAAAACAAGCATGTACAAAATACAAGGTAATTGCTCTAGGAAATATACAACAGTGACATGTGGGTGTTATGTAATGTTCTGGATCAATTCAGAGTTTTGCCCATGTAATAGCATCGATGTCGGAAGTTCATCTTGTTCACTGCCAGGCTACAGCAATTGAGAAATAATCAGGACCACATGGAGTTTCAACTCTAATATCCTGCTAATGTGGACTTTATTATTGTTTAATGTCAACCTCTCACGTCGCTCCACCTGGTCTAGATACGGTCAGGTTGGAAAAAGGAGGGTTGCCCTTTTGAAAAGAGATGTTTACACCTAGTAATCTAATTAATCGAGTATGTATGTATTTTCAATATCACTGATCCAAGTGCTTGACACTTATTTTTAAAATGACTTCTTAAAGTTGGGTATTGTGCCATTACAACACGAAAAGGGGAATTTATACTTTGAATGTTAAATATTATTTGTATCACGGGCCATATTAACGATCCCCAAACAGATTAGTCCACATCCACACACTCAGCACTGGGACCCGCTTGCATAAATAAACGTAGAAATTGTAGCACTAAAATATGATACGCCCAAATGGACTGGCGTTACAATATTATTAGCATTAAGATTGATTGGTGAAACTGGGTCCCGCCAAAGCCTGTCAGTACAGGGTTTATCTTGACCTGCTCAGAGGCTGATATTCGGCCCCAAGCCTGCAGCAAATGTCAGTAAAACTTCCCAAATTGGAATCTTAAATATCCCAATTCAACTTAATATACTATAATGTAATGGCCTTGTAGAGGTCACTGTATATCACTGATAACAGGACCAAGAAAGAAGAAAAGGTTTTCGTGCTTATTTTTACAGAAGTCACTGTTAAAATAACTCTGAATTAAGGAAATTAAAGAATCTCTAAGAAAATCCAAAATTCTTCAGCTTGTCGTAAGAGGCGATTAACGGGATCGGGTGGTCAGGCTCGCTGACTTGGTTGGTGCATGTCATCGTATCCCAATTGCGTGGATCGATGCTCATTCAGTCAATAACTGGATTGTCTGGTCCAGACTCAATTATTTACAGACAGCCGTCATATAGCTGGAAAATTGCTGAGTGCAGCATTAAACGACAAAACAAACAACCTTAACTTGTTAAATTTCTTAATAATCCTAATCCACTGCAAAGAGATCAGCCAGTCCCCAAACCTACGAAACAGCTGTACCCCATCTGACTCCCAAACACAACAGGACTAACAGCAATATTTGATTTCAGTCCTGAGATCTTCCACTGTTACAATGCTGCAGTTCAACATCTGTTGAGAAAAAGGAGCCAAGAATTGATTTTCTCGGTCTTATGTTCTCTGACACTGTCTCGCTACCTTCAACCAAACAATACCAGGGGAGATAATTCGAAATACAAGAGACAATTTTATTGTATTTCAGGGAAAAATGCAATTATGCAAATTCTTAAAGGGTACAATGTCCTACTTGAGGGCACAGAGCACTGCATGAATCATCCAGATCCACTGTTTTCCATGAGTCACTCCAGCCAAAGTTTTATGCTATTTAAAGCATGTATATTTCTACAAATGTATGGTCAATAGAGACATGCTCCACAATGTACCGTAAATACCCAAAAGGACACAGTTCATACAGAACACAATAAATAAATTTAGATTGGAATTTGGCCCTACAAACTATATTTTCAGAAACTGTTGAAAACTATGGTTAAACAACAGTTTGTCAGAGTGACTACATTACAAAACAGTCCCAGAGGTGCAGAAACTAATATTTTTAGTCCAGTAGTGTTTTCAATTATAACATAGAATAAAACCCCTATAAATGGCCAATTTCAACTAGTCCTCATGATACCTTAACTATTGGGCAGTCTGGCAAGGACTTTAGGACTGGTGCCAATTTCTAATGCTGTGACCCATTCTAAAATATTTCAACTTCAAAAGTCAACTGTACATTGGATGTGAGCATGTGCTGTAATCCAATTGGTTGAAAAATGTTGTAAAATGGGACTGAAACCCAATTCTGGACTTTTCCCTTTGAAAATGAATACTGAATATGAAGCACCTTTTTTTCTCAATTTCAAATTGAAAACATTTCAGCTCAACGAAGTGGAATACTGCAAGAATATTCATCAGAACACTTTCAATTTAGTTCTTCTCCCCTATTCTGCTAACCAGGCCAGTTAGTCTCACAGAAGCATATGATGTTATCAGTTGTATCATAGCATCACAGAATGACTTGATGTCTGTCTTGCAACTGTGAGATTTCACGTAGAGAGAGTGTTATGAAATATCACTCTTTTGTGTGCCAATGTTTGTGTAGTTTCTGATGGTATAGTAAGTCTGGCTGTATTGAGCTCTTATGATATCTCTGGCTATTTATTAGAGGCTCTATGGTATATATCACCATCAGCTTTCCTGTTTCCTTGACAAACTTCCTGACACTTTGATCACAGGGTACAAGCAACATAATGTAAGGTATAGCACCAGGGAACACAATTAGGGTCAACCATCTCACACTGTGTCCTGTTCAGCTGTGATTCAGAATGTGTGTAGCAAACATCTTGTCAACACATCAGTTGAATGCCAAGCTTAAAACATTCTCAGGTTATAACAAAATACACTCCTTCCTCCTCCTCCTCCCAATGTGCCTGCCTCAACCACTCAAACTGTGAACATTAAAGTGAAACCTTCTCCCAGGCATGTGGAGTAATTTCAAAGTGTGTATGACAACACATCTTGGTGTGCTGCTATAGCATACTACTCAACTTCTGATAAGATATGAATATAGAAACTCCTTGTCAAAAGTGGAGCAGTATACTTTTAGTGTGTGT